AATTACCACTATTGATTTGAGGCAGAGCTGGGCTCGGCTGAGAGTTTGTTTATAGACAGTGGTGAGATGCCGGGATTTGTGATTGATTAAAATGAATACAAATATTCTCCAAATGTGCATTTGCTTCTTGTATACTTTTAGTAGTTCATATTTTAGTCTTCTCTCAAATATGAATCTAGACAAGGTTAAAAAAAACAAAACAACTCTTAACAGAATCCTGATTTTTAAAAATTGTAAAATGTAAATCTGATATTAAGTACAATACAATTTGCTATTGGCGCTCACATCTTAACCACAAATAACCATGTTGTTTTTAAATTGCATTCATATATTAACAAAGATATAAAGCATATATGTCGTAGCATATCCTTTTTATTTATGGGCCCTATAGATAGCTGCGTAGTCCAGTCCCATAGCCTTGTGATTGTAAGTGGATTTGGATTTCGAGCACAGAGGAGGCAGCGTGGGGGAGGAGACTGCCACTCTCTTTATCAGTGACGCTTCGCTCACTGCTGCACGTCGCCTCTGTGCTCTGATTGGTCGACGCAGCTGCAGTCTGTAGCCCCCTTCCCCCATGCCTTCAGTCCGATGTCACAACAGGCTCACAACTGTACAGTACAAACCTTTTTGAATAAATACTCATCTTAAGTATAACTGTTGTGTAATTATAACAACAGCAGAGAATCAACAGGGAGTGGTTAGTCAAATACTGCTGTTGTAGAATCGCAGACAAAGGTGTTTCCTGAATACTGAGCCAGACACAAGTGAAACTATATCTGGATCATTAGACAGCTCTGTGGGGTGCTCAAATCAGCAGTAAATTTGTTTTACGTTGCATCATCATCAGATGTTAAAAATGAGAGGAAATCCAGTGTATTCAGAAAGTGTGTGTGACTATGTGCTCTCCCCTCCAGAGTGGGCCTCCACATTACATAACTCTTTGTTTTTGTTCCAGACGCATGTGTGCCAGTTATTCACTGCTCCACTGCGCACACTGGGGATGGCGGCCAGCAGCAAAGCACAGCTCTTTGAAACTCATGTAGGCCACACAAAGATTGTCTTTTTCCCTCCCGTTCTCACTGCACTCACATTTCTTTGCACTCTGTAAATCATGATTATATTGTGAAGACATATTTAGCATTGTGTAATGGTGGTTTATTCAGGTTTATCAGTAATTTGTCCTGCTTTGTTATAGGGCCGCAAGATTAAACAAATTTAAATTGCAATTTTAATGAACGCAATAAGCAAGACTGGAATTTTTGAAGTGCCATACTTTCCTCCACAAACAACAAAATAAACATTTATACAAAATGTGATTCTGAAGTGTGAATTTCAGACCACATCCTATTATAAAACTTAAATTGCAAATCTAATTGCAATGCTTGTCAGAAAAATTCTAATTAGATTTTTTTTTTTTTTCCAAAATTGACTATTACAGACTTGTGTTATAGAAGTATGGTCATTAAATTGTAATAATGTAAGATGCATGTTTTTAATGAAACACTGGTGTATTTTAGAAGCAAACCAGAGATCCTATAGCTACTTTAATGTGTTTGTTTATTATGCGTGTTTGATAGAGTTAAAGGATTTTCCAGCCTCATTTTGTTATGTAATTGAACAGACTAAAGTGATTAGTGCACTTTGTGTACATACTGCCCCTCAGTGGGCAGCGGTGTAGCCCCAGGGCTGATCCTCCTGCCTGAGTTAGTACCACTGACCTGTCACTTGAACTTCCTCATTGGACGCTCCCACATTAGCTTGCTGACATGTAAGGCTTTACACTTTGTGACTGTGCACTCGAATCCACGCTTTCATTGTTTCATTCATAAGAGGGTGCATTCATGTATATGTCTAATGCTGCTGCTGAGTGGTGTATGTTGAAGGCTATTTCCTCTTTGTTATCTGAGCAGGCTGATTAGAATCTGAAAGCTGATTAAAGTAATTGAGCTTCATCTGCTCAGCTCTGCCCTAGTGTAAAGTTTACATACTGTCTATAGTGTCCCAGTTTTAACATGTGTTACTAATGGAAACAGAAGTATATGCTCACATGATTATAATGATCAGCTGTAGGGTCACTAGGCAGTGACTATGATCTGATATCAAAAGCTTTTATGGAAGGTGCACTGAGCTCTCATGTCCTGATGGCCACACTTAATGCACAATAATGCAGCAGCTTACACCAGTCCATTATATGGTTGAGCACATGATTTTTTTCTGAGCTGAAGTAGCCCTCCTAAAGAACAAGTGTACTTAGAAGTGTGAGATTACAGTTTTTTGCTTCTCTCTTTAGACAGATCAGTAATTTAGTGCAAGCAGTTTGTCCCTTGCTGCTGTGAAAATCACTCCTGTTTCATTTCTGGTCCAGCTCTCACCCATTGCATTTCCATGTGCATGGGGCAAGAAATCTCAAAAACTGAAGCAGTTTTGACACAAATTTGTCTGCATTTACTGTGAAAAATAGAGCTTCTTTTCACTGAGATAGAAAACCCCTCCTCCTTACGACCCCCCCATCAGTGTCCCAACTTTACCCCAGAGCGCAGCGATGGCAGGTGCATCCCTCTGGAGTTCAGCCACAGCCCCCCTCTACTCTGTCATGTAACCCACCCCGAAAGCATCAACACAGCTGTCAAAACCAGGCCATGCTCTGCCCTCTGGGACTGTGCCATTGTAGTACCTTCACCAACCACTGAACCAGTCACAAAGTCAAACGAAAACCCTTCTCACCTGCTCCTTCTTACTCACCTACGGCTGCTGCATTTTTCGGAAATTATCACAATTATTTGGCTCATAATTCATATCACATTTATTTCAGACTTTGTACAATCAAATTAACCTGTAGAGAAAGTATATACCTAATAAATTTCATTGGTAACAGACAAGTGGTTTTGCATCAGGTTGCGCAGGAACAGGTCATGATTATAAATTTGATTCATTGTACCATTGGAATTTTCACTTTAGTTTGAGGACTATTTCAGGTTGAGCTCTATGTTAATCACAGTTGGATCGGTTGCAGTTTGCAGACTTGACCTGGTGCAGGAAGACTAAGGAAGAGGGAACTAATGGAAGAAAAGGAGCATAGAGTTAGTGTGGCAGAGGTCCAGTTGTGTGGGCTGTAGTGACTCATGACTTACGGTAAAAGCTGCATTTCTCTCCGCCCCTCTCTGGCAAGCATGCACAGTTTTGCTGCCTCTTGGTGCCTCTTTCAAACGTGTGGTGACACTGGTAGACTGAGGGACATTTAGTAAGGATTTAGGTCTGTTGTGTTCACCTACTCTGGCTCTAATGCAATACAAAACGCACCACTCCTCCTCCTCACATAATTGTTCTACGCCCATTAACCTAGTTTAGTTTGCTATATAAACATAAACACTCTTTTCCGCCACAGCCCTTAATATTTACTTTCCTGGTATCTTGACAGAGCTATATTTAGACCACTTTTGAAGTAAGAGCTAACTAATGTAAAGCTGCAGATGTCTCATAGTAGGTATTTCCTCCACAACCAAGAATTTGCTTTATTCTTGTACATTTCTAGCTCTTTTATACTTGCTAGTCCAGACAAGTAACACAAAGTCATTGGAGAGTTATGTGTATGGCCTAATTGCTTGTAATAGATACCAGTGAGTATTTAGAGTTTTCTCTGTGCCTCTGTGAACTTCTTGTGATCAGGATTACTTCAACTTGAATCACTTCAACTGCAGATGTAAACATGTACCACATTTTTTCTGTTGTATTATTCCTGTGGTAACGCAGTTTCATAGAGTTGCCTTTTGTGTGACAGTCACGGACCCTTTCAAGTGGAGAAGGCATGGGAGGGTGAGCTATTTTAGGATAGGCATTCTGGAGGAAACCCTTGGCCTGGTTTATCCTTTCAGAAATGAACAGGAGATTGAGTGCATAGAAAAACCCAAAGTTTCTTTCAATATAATTCAAGAAAAAGGAAGAGGGCGGGTGCATTTATTTACTATATACTATTTGTTATTAATTATTGAACGCTCACTACTATTAATAGTGTATTTCTTATGAGTAAAAACCAAAAACATTTCTCTTACAGTTGGCATATAAAAAGGTAGCAGTAAGGTTGGAGTGCTCATTCATCTGGCTGGCAGAGAGCATTGTCAGCGCTGTACCATCCAGTCCCTCATCCCCAAAGGGATTTCATTAAAGGCAGGACTCTTCCAGCTGAGGTTCACATAGTCTATAGAGCACAAACTGTCTTGTCCCCTATAGTTTGTCTAAATTCAATATTTTTTTGTCCATTGTTATAACTACATCTGAGTAATGTTGTCACTGAGTGTTAACAGAGATCTGGAGTAGAATGAGATGACTTCACTTGCCATGGAGCAGCACACAAGCTCAGCCTGGGCCATAAAAGGACTCTGTTCTCCACCAAACATTGACTTATTGTATTGTTGTGAGGGCGCTGGGAACATTTGTAAACAATACCATCCTTGATCCAAGACTGCCCCATTTTTCAGGCTGCTTTAACTTAGCACAATGTAATCCAGGCCTTTCATCAAACTTCAGGTCATTGTTTAGTTTTGTCTATGCCAAGGTTAATTGAAATACAGCTATTTCCATTTAGATGTACTGTATTTTGTGAATTCTACTTTTTGCTATTGTTGTATCCTGTGTACTAACCTTATAATAGTAAGTGATCTGTGATTTGTGTCAGCATTTGGAATGTATTGGTATGGGCAAGAGTCAAGACATCTTTCAGTTTAGTAGACCTATAATGACAACAAATTTAAAGTGTGATACAGGCCTATTGTTAGTTCTTATTTGCTGAATGGGTTAAGTTTTTGCTGTTTAACAACATTCACTTCCAATGCTGATACTGTGCATCTCTACTTCTCTGACACACTACCTCCTCCAAACAGACCTTTTCAGAGCTTTTTCCAGTGAGAGCGAATGTCCTCCGTCAGTGTGAGATATAAATAAAGCCAGGGGGAGGCAGTAGCGCTGTTAGTGGGAGGGACTGAGAGTGAGGCTGAGGAAGGAGGAGAGAAGGGCTGTCTCATGTCGTGCAAGAGCTGTGCAACTTTTTGGCTATATTTGTGAAGCTTGGTGTGCACAGCAGACATGCTCTGAGAAAAGGATGGTTGTGTGGTACGTAACCTAACTGCGCAGGATGGTTGGCAGACACCTCTCCTCAGGTATTTTACTGCTCTGTCCTTCAGTTTTGCACCCCTTCTATGCAATTACCTTTCAAGATAGCTACACTGCTTGCAACAATCTGTGCATTTTTGAGGTTTGGCAGGTCAGGGGAATAAAATATGGGAGAATTGCAGCTTTAACTCGCTGCTCAGGTCTTTTTGGCTTTGGTTCAGGGCTGAGAAAATGGCGGTCCAGCACTTCTAAGCAGAGTGACGCTTCTGAGCCACAATGCTGTGTTTGTCCTTTTCTCTGCTCACTCGATGTCTTCTTTTGTGAGGTGTCTTTATGGGCAAAAATGTGATTTAAGAACATATGGTTTGTCTATGCAGTACTCTCTTCTAAAACAGCTTAATTGGGCACCTACTTAGAGCAAGTACAGTTTGCTGGGCATTGGGTATTCAAACTTTGCATATTAACATACTTCCAAGTATGTTACTTTTCCTTATCAAAAATATGCCTGTGATTATATTTAGTTTAGTGTTTGTTTAGTGCTCTTAAAACAGTAGGCAATGGGCACTAAACATGAACTCAGAAATAATTCCTAAGTTAAAAGTTATATGCCAAATGGCCTGTATGAAGCAGAATTAACATTAAGATTTACACCTATTGTATTTTGTCTCATTTGTTTCTTTCAGAGCTGCCCTCACAGAGTGGGCCTGGAGCGCAGTATGATAATCCCCTCTGGGGCCCACTGCCAAACAACAGGAGTGCCACAAGTGTTGCAACTTTAAACAATCTCACTTGCTGGGATCAACTGATCATTGACCAGGAGGACACTGAGGCTTGGCCTTCTACATCCTATAGACAGAGGCAGGCCACTCCCGAAGGATGCCCTGTGGACACTGACTTTGGTCACTGGACCAGTAAAACCAGTAGTATTTGTAGTACAACAAGTATGGCCACAGGGGCTAACAGCCAAACTGGCCACTTCTCTGCCAACCACCTGAGCAGCAAGACCAATAGTGGGCCCAGCCCTGGAACCAGCATGCTTTCTAGCCAGGTGACAGCCAATCGCAGTTGGGGGTCTGGACCGCCCCACTGCCCCCCTCAGTCTTCAGTGGGGACCGAGGGAAAGGGTGACAGCCCAGTTACTGGGAGCAGCCGGGGTTGGGGCTCATCCTCATCTTCCACCACTAACTTTAACTTGAACTTAAACCCTAATGCCAACCCATCAGCCTGGCCCATGTTGGGACATGATGCGGCTGGCAACGGGGCAGGCAGCTCAGGGGGAGCCAGCTCAGTGTCTCCCCCTCCATCTACCCAGACCAGCACCTGCACTGGAGCCAACACTAACAGTAACCCTACAGGGGGCAGCAGCGCCTGGGGTGGCATCATGGCCTCTGACAGCTTAGAGCCAAAAACCACTCCCTCCACGAATGTGTCTTTCAGTTCAGAACCTCAGAACCTTAAAACTGATGGACCAAATTTTTCAAAGCAGGAACCCCCAAGCCCCATTCACAGTCTGTCTGGTTGGGGTAATACACCTGCTGGCTGTCACCAAGAAGGCCCACAGGTTAATGGGGAAGATGCCAGCTCAACATGGGTCAAAAGTGGGGATTCAAATGCACCTTCATCTAAAGATGGCTGGGACTCGGGGTGGAGCCGTGGAGGTAGTGGAGCAGGTACCTCTGGAGGCTGGGCAGAACCACCCAGGGGGGATTGGGGAAAGCCAAAAAGTGAGGATGCCCAAGGAGGCTGGGATGCTCCCACTTCTCCTCCCCAGGATCAGCAGACCAATCCCTGGAGTCGAGCTGTGAGCACTGCTGGTGCCAGTGAGGGGAGCAGTGACAGCATGGATGGGCATCCCCGACGCAGAGACCGTTCATCCAGAGATAATCCAGCTCCTCTCATTCCCTCCCAGGACTTGGATCCTCGTGTCCTGTGTAATACTGGCTGGGGTCAGACCCCGGTCCGCCAACACACCACTTGGGACATGGAGGACAATAAACGGAAAAATGTAGGTCCCGATTCATGGGGCTCAGGGCCGGCTGTTTCAAATGACACACAGGGGCACCCCACTAACATAGCCCCATCCCACAGGACTGACTCTGTCAGTAAACATGATGGGCATGCTCCTCCAGTGGCTTCAGGCTGGAATGGAAGTGCCCCTGCTCCAAACCAGAGCACGTCTGGCTGGGGAGACGGACCCAACAACAACAAACCACCTGCTGGGCCAAGTGGTTGGGGCAGCCCCACACCAGGAGGCCAAAACACTAATATGCCCCAAAAAGGAACTCAGTCCTGGGTAGAGGAGAAATCTACTGGTTGGGAGTCTCATGCCAAAACTGCATCACAAGGTTGGGGTGATCAACCCAAACCATCTCATGGCTGGGGCAATAGTGGTGGGAGCAGTAATACAGGAGAATGGGGAGAATCTAGTGAGAGCAAAAAGAGTCCGACAAATGCTGCCTGGGATGGAGAGCCAGGAGGCTGGAAAGAAAGTCCACGAAGCTGGAGTTCATCAACTTCCGGTCCTGGAAACTCTGAAACTGGAAGAAACGCAGGCTGGGGAGAACCTGCCTGTCCGCGCCCCAGTGGACCACCTCAAGGATGGGGAGGCAAATCTAATGAGGGTCCTGGTGGTGGTGGAGCTATGGGTTCCTGGGGAGGAACAGGCCCAGTCAAGCAGTCTGTTGGCTGGTCTGGTGGAAAGCAGGAGCGCACTGAGCCCACAGGTTGGGAGGAGCCTTCTCCTCCTTCAATCAGACGTAAAATGGAGATTGATGATGGGACCTCTGCTTGGGGTGATCCTGGTGCTCACAACAAAAGTGTCAACCTGTGGGACCGGAACAATCCAGGAGTATCCCAGAATAAAACTAATGCTGTCGTAAATAATACACCGGGGTCCAACACCAACCACTCACAGCCTCACAGTCAGCCCTATCATGGCCCCCCTTTACAGAGCCACAGTCAAAACCCTCCAAACCCAGGCCTCACTGGTGGCCCTATGGACCCTGCTGCTCCACAACCCCCTGTACTACCTCACAACAGAGGCCCTCCCATAGCTCAAGGTAAATACAGTCCTTTTTCCTGTATATTGATGCTAAGTTCATCTTTATGTACTGTTTAGTTCATACTATTCATACTGTCTTCACAAATTTAAAGTGTTAAACATGAAAGCTGATTAGGCACTGAGCCCAGTGAACTGTTAAGCTTCAAGTTGTTGATCCACTTAAAGAAGAAATCTTGACCTACTTTGCTCTCTTAGGATTTACATTTACTTGTTTATTCAAATGAGTTAAACCGTGCTAGTGCTAGTTTTATTGTATGAGTGTCTTTCTTACTCAGTCATGTGTGTAGTTGCTGTGACAGGTTATAGGAGATGCATCAAAGCAGTATTGACTGTACTGAAACAGTCATATGTCAAAATGTACAATAGTCCCTGAGAAACAGAAAGACAGGCACCTCCTGATTCTGTGCACTTGACCCATTCCACTCACAGCATGCAGACAATGTTCTTAGGAAAACCTCATGAACATTGTTTATTATTGTACTCTGTGCTAGGGAGAAGGGCTGGTTACATTACACTGACAGTGACAAATATTTTTGGCACATCCCTAAGGATACAACCTTCCATAGTGAAGGCTATTATGAATCTGGCATAGATGAGAAACTTTCAGCCAAATTTGACCCATTAGTTTCAAAATGTCAAATGGTATTTCCTCCCTTAAAAAAGCAAACCCCAGCAAGAATGTAAAATTAATTACATATTTATGTTGAGATGTGTAAGTGGAAATGTGTGTTAATAACAATATTGATAATGAATAAGTATCACCTCCACAATATGGGGAAATTATTGATGTAAAAGAGTGACAGATTCTATGTCTGCATTTGTTGTACACATTTTAGTGTGTCCTTGTTTATCATTCAGGTTGGGGAGACATGCCTAGTTCCCACCCAAAATCAGAGAGCTCTTGGGGAGAACATGCACCTTCTCCAGTCAGTGTGGACAATGGGACCTCAGCTTGGGGCAAACCAACCTGTGGTGGTTGGGGAGACAACAGCCCAGAGTATGGCAGGGGCAATTCAAATATGACATCTGCATCTTGCAAAACTGGTAAGGAGTTAAAACGTCATTTATTTTATATTACATTATCTCATAGACCTTAGTACCTTTGTCACTTGAGGCTTTGAAATATTAGCTGACACTGACCTCTAGTGGACATTTGGGAAAGTGATTGGTCTGAGAATTTTGGTATTGTTTCTTATTCAGCTCCAAAACCTATGCAAGACAGTTGGGGAGGCGGAGGAGAAGAGCTGGGCCTGTCTGGAGGTCAATGGGACACTGACGATGGCGATATGTGGAATAGTGCTGCTTCTCAGGAGAGTAATTCTTCATGCAACTCTTGGGGCAATGCATCCAAAAAGGCCCCCCCAAAAGTAAGTTCCAAATATGGAAGTTTTATTTATGTAATACTGATACATTGTTAGTACATGCAACATTTATAGTTGATGTTTTTGGTGTGTTACAGGTTAAAGTACCAGGTAAGCAAGAAGATGCCTGGATAATGAATCGTCTAATCAAACAGCTGACGGACATGGGCTTTCCAGTGAGTAATTATTGTACTATAAAATATATTTACATAATTTTACATTAATGTTATGGTTAGTTTATCGTCACATTTATTAAATTTTACAAAATTTTGTCTGTCTGTAAAGAGAGATCCAGCAGAGGAGGCACTGAAGAGCAACAACATGAACCTGGACCAGGCCATGAGTGCCCTGCTGGAGAAGAAGACTGAGCTGGATAAGCGGGGAATGGGCATAGGCCATGACTATAACAATGGGCTCATCAATAAACCCATGAACTGTCCTCGGCCTCAGCTTCTGTCCAAAGACCCTGTGACAGACCCCCGCTTGCCTTTCATGGATAAGGTGCGCACAGCATTTTAGAAAAAAAAATATTTTCTGTGTTTAATGTAGATTTTGCTTGAGCAAAGTCTCATTATCTTTGTTTGTGTGGCAGATGCAGAGTGGAATGTTTGGTGGTGGCAGTGCACAAGGCCGTGCCATGCAGCCCCCTCCCCAGCCTCCTGTGCCACCGCTCAGCTCCTCTCAGCCCAATCTACGTGCTCAAGTGCCTCCCTTTCTGTCCCCTCAGGTATTACACTGTATGACAGGGCTGAATACTGTACACCATACCTTAAGTCAAACTAACCCATAATAATAATGTTTTTACAGGTTCAAGCACAGCTCTTACAGTTTGCAGCAAAAAACATTGGTCTGAATCCTGCACTTTTAACCTCACCTATAAACCCTCAACATATGACCCTCCTGAATCAACTGTACCAGCTGCAACTGGTGAGCTCAGTCCACAGACTGTATATATAAATGGACATGGCTAATGCGCTAGTCACCGTGTTCCAAATGGAAAGATCGCATGAAAACTCTTCCATCTCCTACTGACACTGTTTCCCATTGACTTACATTTAAATATTGTTGCCCCTCTCTCGAACTGCTGCAGTGAGCCTTGTCATTTTGGTCTTAAAATGTTTGTATTAACCCACTCTACATCCTGGTATTTTTTTCCATTATTTTGTCTGTAGAAAAAATCCTATTCATAATATAGATTCTAGCTCCAAATTCCTTGTAACTGCTAGCATCGCAAGCTTCATTTGAGTTGAGCTGGTTCAGTCTGTCAAAATGTGCATATTTATAAACATACTGCATTTACTATGTAATAGATATTTCCCTTTCAAAACAAGGTGGAACCAAAAAGGAATTATATAATTATAATACAATTAAAAGAATTTTCATTGAGAAAGAAAAGTTTTTGTGTGCCATATTTGAAAGTTAATCTAACATAGATGTTTTATTATACATTTTTAATAAATGTTTATGATGCATTCTTGTTTTGTTTGTGTTTTACCACAAAGCAATTTTGTATAGAACTGATTTATTTATATATATATATATCCTTTATCTGACCTGTTTTACAGGCATACCAGCGTTTACAAATTCAGCAACAGATGTTACAAGCCCAACGCAATGTTTCTGGCCCCATTCGACAGCAAGAGCAGCAAGTAAGTTTCCATCAGAAATCTGGCAATATTAAATTTTTTTGGTTGAAAGCAGTTATTCCTGATTTTAAAGTTCACATTAATTGTCTTTCAGGTTGCCCGTACAATCAATAACATGCAGCAACAGATCCAACAGCACCAGCGTCAGCTGGCACAGGCCCTGTTAATGAAGCAGCAGCAGCAGCCACCTCCAGCCCACTCTGGCATGCATCCTGGAGGGAACAAATCCGGCCTGGACTCTTTCCCAGGTCACCCCCAGGCTCCTGGTCTCTCTGACCTGCAGACCAAAGACCCACAGTCATCGGCTAATACCTACAGTCCCTACTCTCTTTGTAAGGATAAACCACATTTTATATTTCCCTACATTTCTATAAATTTTTTACATTTCAAACGTTATTTTGCCGTTGTTGTTTTTATTCAGCTGGACTGAATTCAAATATGAATGTAAACTGCTTAGAAGTGGGAGGCCTGTCTTTGAAGGAATCTCCCCAACCTCAATCACGCCTTTCACAGTGGACACATGCCAACTCTATTGAAAGTATCTCTGAAACATCCTCCCCTTTAGAGCCCAGCCTGGGAAAGCATGGTGAGCAACTAAAATGTTTATTCATGTCCCTTTTCACCACAAGTGTTTTATAACATGGTAACTATTGTCATTTTAAAGGCCTTATGCTGAATTTATAATAATTCCTTTTCACATTAGGTGCCAATCTGGGTCCCCCTGGAAAGTCTCCACAGTTGGAGGATTCCTTCAGCCCCTACAATCTCATGTCAAACTCAGACTCTCCCACAAGCCCTCTGGTTCCTCCTGACAACTGGGGGCCGCCTAAAGGTAGCAGTGATAAGATGGCCAATGGGACCAATATTAACTGGCCACCAGGTCAGTCACAATTTCATAAAAACTTTATTTTTAAGTGTACAAAAACAAAGTATAAAAAATAAAATAATATAATGTATTCAGAATTCTGCCCTGGAGTACCTTGGAAAGGTCTCCAAAACATTGACCCTGAGACAGACCCAAATGTGACTCCTGGCAGTGTTCCCAGTGGGCCCACCATCAACACCAACATCCAGGACGTTAACCGCTACCTGCTGCGGGACCGAAGTGGAGGTGAGCTCAGGCCGAGCTTCCCATGGGAGCACTCTCTCAGTCAGAACTTGCACAGTGCGCTTGGGCTTTTTTTGCACAACCTTCTTGATTCTGCAGCTGGTACTCTTCTATTTGGTTGGATTTTCTTTTCCTTGAACAGCTTTAATATTTCATACCCATTTACATTTCTATTTTAACTATACTACTTTGTCTTTTTCTACTTGGGTTAAGTTTGTCATTGGCCATGTGTATTTTCTTTTATTTCATTTCTCTCTGCTACCATTCCTTATTTTTGTCTGTCTATTTTTGTGTTGCTGGTATCTGCTTAGGCTCTTCTCCCAATTCATCTCAGGCTCTACCTTCCTCCACTGATTGGCCAGTCAATGCTTGCACTAGCTCGTTCAGTCTGTCGCCCCCGGAGGCGGACGATGCAGGTACACAGTTTGCATATAACCCAAACACAGGTTTCATCAAAACCATTATTTTATTTCTAAAAATGTCTCTCTTGTCCTTGCGTTACACCACATTTAATTAAATTGTCGTGCCACTTCAAAGATCTCGTTTTCATTTGCTAATGCATTTATTTCCCCTTCGTTCTGTTGTCCTCCCATCGTGTAAGAAATGGGATAACATACATGTAGGGGTCAGAAATATGGCAAAATATTTGTTTTGCAATTTTCTTCAACATGATTGCATATTGCCCGGCCCCTACATACATATGTATTTTATGTTTTAAGGTTTCTCTGAATGTGAAAGTGAGTATAAGAACTTTACCTCTAGTTACAGTCTTGTATAAATACCCTTGTTTTTGCAGGTAAATTGTCAGAAATTAAATCAACTTGGTCACCTGGCCCCATACCTCACAGCCAGGCATCTCTGTCCCATGAGCTGTGGAAGGTCCCACAAGGACCCAGAAGCAGCAGTGCAGCACCGAGCCGCCCTCCTCCCGGTCTTACAAACAACAAACCCTCTGCTACATGGGCTGGCACCACACTGGGGCTGGGTCAAGGCTGGAGCAGCTCCTACACCACAGGTAGGTCACAGTGCTAATATAAAAATTGAAATGACAGTCAAGGAACAATGACATGGCTGTGAAGATACTATAACATCCTTTTGCATTTCATTTACAGCAGGCACCACATGGAGCACCGACAGCTCCCCCAGGACCAGCAGCTGGTTGGTTCTTAGGAACCTTACTCCACAGGTACAATTCTACTGTGTCTTGCATACTGTAAAGAGGGATATCATTATACTTACACTTTATCCACTTGGCTAAAATTTAAGTCAAGATGTTATAAACTGTCTGAAAACACATTGCTCCCTGTGTTATAGATTGATGGCTCGACCCTGCGGACACTGTGCATGCAGCATGGCCCTCTTATCACATTCCACCTCAACCTGACACAAGGCAACGCTGTTGTGCGTTACAACTCCAAGGATGAAGCTGCCAAAGCTCAGAAGTCTCTTCACATGTATGTTCTTGATTATTAAATGGCAACTTGTGTCTTGATGAAATAAAAACAATTACTCAAGGCATTTTATATGTCCTTTTGGCAGGTGTGTGCTTGGTAATACCACCATCTTGGCAGAGTTTGCTGGAGAGGAAGAAGTGAACCGATTCTTTGCACAGAGCCAGTCACTTGGTGGAACGACCAGCTGGCAAGCCACTCCTGGCACTAATCAAACACGGATGGGCGGGACTGGCTCAGGAGTCACTCATCCCATTGGTCACTCTCCGCACTGGAATAACAACAGTGGAGGCACAGGGAGTGGAGGTGCTCTGGGCACAGGAGGAGCTAAAACAGGAGAGCTGCTCTGGGGAGGTGTACAGCAGTATTCCAGCCTGTGGGGTCCTCCTAGCGGAGAGGAGGCTCGTGTGATGGGGAGCCCCACCCCAATCAATACACTGCTTCCTGGAGACCTGCTTAGTGGGGAATCTATGTAGCCCTCACAAGAAAACATGAGTTTGCAAATCAGTGTGGAGATAATCAGTGTGATATACGGTTACAGAGGGGCAAGGAGAGGGATCACTGCTGCTCACTGTCCTCTGCTTTTTACCCCCTGGTTTTAACATCTCAATTTACTTTTTTTTCTCATTGAGATATTTTATTCAGTGTTGAGGTTTTATTTTTGGAGATACAAAGAAAGTGAATTTTGCAACGCAATGTAAGAGATGTGGAAACTTGCACCTCAGAGATCCATATGAAGCATCATTCCCCTCAATCAGAGCAGTTTGGACTCCACATCTGTATTTCTCAGCACTAATATTAGCCTTAACCTTTTCCTGCTCTGTTCTTGTTCACTCTGTACTTGGTGAAGAAACATATAGACTCGTGCACACCCTTATTTCTGAGCCAGTGAAACCTGAGTGAGAGTCAATGCTGCTGAAGACTACCCCAAATAACCACAGCTCAAACTCCATTACACAATGCTCAAAGGGAATGATGCAACTTTGTTCGCTTTGTTCAAGCCATTTATTTTTTCTAGTGTGTTTTTCCATTGCAAACAAAGCTAAGAATATTATATTATTCACATGTGTCTCAATCTTACTTGGTGGCATCATTACATATCCAGATGTGGATATGATGGACAACAGAATGAACCACTGCTATTACAAGTGAACTGCAAAGACAAACACTTAATGCACCTCAATCCACTGCAGGACTCCTGCAGTTTGGTCTCAGTCTTTGACCCTCTCACTGATGTTGTGGATAACCTCAAGTCGGTGCGTAGTTCCTCACTCCACCAACAAAAACACCATTTCATGTGATGTGCAATATAAGCCACAGACTTTACCGTCCATGCAACCCATCATCACCTCTCAGAGAAGAGGAATACTACAAGGAATGATTGAACTGCAAACTATTTCTGCCCCCACCTTAAAACTGCCACTAACACCTTTCCTCTCCCCTTGTGTGTGAGGGGGCTTCAGCGAGGGGCTGGTCTTAAAACATATTCTGCCTAAAACACAAAGGTAACTCAAAGCACTTGTTGGACCAGCCCCCTCTGCAGCCATGTATGCCAGTGACTAGTTCGGGGGAGAAGATTGGGCGTGTGTGTACATGTGTGTGCGTGTGGGAAAATGGCATCAAACCAAATTAACCTGGAAGACCAGAATACCTTTTTTTCCTTTTATCCAAATTTTCATCAATAGCTATTTGTAAACAAAGATACTGGTTTGTGAATATGTGGTCAATCATAGCACTTAGCAAGAGCATCACTGCTAATACACCTTCAATGCCAACATGTTGAAGAAAGGAGAAGTGTCCGTGGCAACAAAAAAGCAATTTACAGTGGCTTCTATACTTTTTTACTCAACTTGGATGTAAGGATTTTTTATCCTTCATCTCACATGTCTGTGAGAACCTGAAGGATGCTTAACATGGTAGCAAAGTGAAGGGAAATGCAAAGAATGAACTGACTCATCTGATGAGGAGTGCCATGCTCTTTGTCAAGTAAATATCACTGTTACATCACATTCTCTCGAATCAAATCTCTAGCCTTGGTGTCTGGAAACGTTCCACTTAATCCTGCAGGGGGGCTTACTTTCTTGTCCTTTTTGATTTCTCTCTGTGAAGAGGCCCTGCCAACTTGTGGTATATCATGGTCACTGAGTGCCTGTCTGCTGCAGAGTGCACTGCTCCGCTGCGGCCCTCATTCTTCTCCCTGCAGGCCCCTGTCAGACTGGCTTCTCCCCATCTTCCCCTGGACCTCCAGGCCAAGAGCAGCTCACTACTACTACTGCGCCACCCTCCTCTTCCATTCTCTCTCACTTCTGCATTGATCACTTTAGCCTGATGCTGAGGCACTTGATGTGTTGTACTTATTTCATTTGTCTGTGTACATTTTTTGTTGTAAAGTTGGCTGATGCAGTTGCATTAGTCTGATGGTATAGTTTTAAAGTTAAATGCTGTTTCAGTTTGATTTCCCAGGCCCCCCGTCTGCTTTGTCAGCAGAACCAGTGTGTGGTTTAGAGGTACAGCTTCTGGTCAGCCCATACAGACACTGATGATATCAATAGAAACAGGCTTTTGGTTCTTAAGCGTTGTGCCATGCAGGACAAGGTCTCCACTCCACAGAGTGAGTGCACCTTCTTTATAGTGGATGGGGCACAGCCACAGTGGTGCTTTATGTTTTAACTCTGGGAGTGCTTAGTTTCAACCACCTCGATTGAGAGCAGCCTTCCAGATCTATGCAAAATCAAGGAGGGATTCAATCACAGCCATTCAAATTTCACAGCCATGCTCCACATCTGCCAATGTCCACTTCTTTAACCTTTACTACCAGGCAGCTTCCCTTAGGCCTCCGAATCAAATGTGGGGGACACGGCTACTAAACACTAATGACCTGCTGGGGGCGTTGTTGGTTGGCAAACAGTCACTTTTGAGGTCTTGTGCCAACTGGCTTTTCCTCTCTGTACTTCCACCGGGCAGTATCCTAGTGAAGAATTAAGTGTGTTTTTGTCTGCGGGGTATGCACAAAGCTCTGGCAGAAACGCGCAAGGAGAAGAGACAGGACAAGCCTATGGTGCTGGTTTCTCACTGTCAGGGGATTGACACTTTAGTGGACATAAACGCTGCAGAAGTTGGGGCCAGCTGGTCCCTGTATGTGTCTGTGCACTGTTTATTGATCACATCGGGTACATCTTTCTAAAAACCAAAAACATTATCTTTTTTCATCATCAAAGTTTTTTGCAAAAACTGAAAAAATGTTGTTTCCGCTGTGCCCTCCAAAGCTAAGGTGTTTCCCTGTGAGCTCTCCCCCGTTGGAGGGAATGTTGTAATCAGGGTGTATGGGCCTACAATATGAAGGTCATCACATAATCATTTCAAAACAGCTGGCTTTGGGGTCAGACCTAAGCTGTCAGCAGAAACAAGAACACATTAAGTTTGGTACCAAGTCTTAAAGTTTGGGGCCTGTCCCTCTTCCAGAGTCGCGCCAGACTCGACTAAACAATCACTATTGCCTGTTGTGTGTGTCTATTCATGAAATCTGCATTTACTCCACACTGGACTTGAATTAAGAAACTGAGTGTAAAGTGACTTTGGACTTGAGTGTTGAAAATTAAATGTTATTTCATTAGTCTCTTGGTTTCAAAAAGCATCTAGAAGTTAAGTGCTAGATGCGTATCAATCACTGATCAGACAAGGGTCGGGCCAGAATGATTTTAATTTGCAAATTTCAAAAGGCCTAGGCTGAATATGCACATATAAGCTCATGCACAGTACACCACCATAGTACACTGTGTATGGCTCTGTTTCCACTTAGTCAATGCCCGCTCCCTGACATTATAATCCCTACAAAGTTCATATCAACATATCAGAGTAATACAAAATAATGAACGAAATACTTGAATCAAAAGAAGCGCCAATAATGTAATGTGAACACTTTTTGTAGTCGTTTTTTGTCTCATTCATAAACTTAAGAGATTTTTAATAGTATCAGAGTGAATCCAATTTGAAATGCGAGTGTTACAGAAAACAAAGAGTCGATTTTTCATCTTGAGTGTTTGCACAAGACTGCGTGTACTGTATGTCGTATGAATGTCTGTGTGTGGGTAACTGCGGTGGGACCTCCGCAATGTGTTTAGTTTAATACAGTATACTTTTGTTTATTTGTTTTACTTATTGCTTGTCAAATGTATATTCTGATGTTAATTGTTACTAGCCTCTAGCGTTGCACTGAGTGTCAGCCTTGCCCGATTCAGCTAAATGAACAACATGATACAAGTACTATGGGGAGGTCAGGACAGTTCATGTGTAAAAGTTTACTCAAGGACTAAAATAAGTGTGTTTTACAAATGTTACATTTATCTACCTTAGTGGCTTTCATTGTGGAATAATCCAAGAAAGTGTGGATCATATTTGAGTATTGCACCATTTTCAGACTAAAAACAAAACAAACAAAAAAATCAAATACTATGTAAAAATGCAGCAAAAAAAGTGTTTTGCAGACCAGTGGCCATAGTAAGGATAGAAGGACTTCATCTCTCCCAAATCTTAGCAGTGGAGAGTGAAGGTGGACAGGAGACTGAGCCTGGGCTGTGATGGCTCTTTCATAGGTGCCTACCTTTTTGGTTGTTAGCTTTTGTTCTGTCACTTTTGTTCAACTGACTCATGTTCTTTGTTTTCCTGAAAGGCCACTGACGGTTTACGTAAATATATTTTTCCAGAGATGAAACACAAAACAAAGTCTAACAATGGGATTGTAAAAAGGACAAATGCTTCCATTTAAAAGTGCAACAACTTCACAAAATGAAGATGGTTGTTTTTTCAAGCTCTGGGATTGAACAGTGTGTTCTGTTACAACTTTGTTCTGTGTTAATGTTAATTTCTAAAGCCTGTATGTTTTATGTTTATTATATATTTTCCATTATATATGAAAACTGAAAAAAATATATATTGCTCACTACCTTGCACACACAAAAAGTGGATCTTGTCTCAGGAAGGCCAGGGTTCCAGAGTATCAACTCCACGCCATTTTAATGTACATTTTTTATGATTAGTTTAAAAAGGTGATTTTAAATTTAAGCACTGAAAGTTATGGATTTCCGAAGAAAAGCAAACTTTTTGTTTCTAAATCCGTAGCAGTTACGTAATAACCAAATACTGGACTCTGATAAAATGTGCTTTATATATAAATCTATATATAAAAATTGCTTTAGGTTAAAAAGTTAATAATTTTGATTGTGAGAAAAAGACATGAGTAACATGCAAAATGCTGTTTGAATCTTTTTTGTGTGTTTTCCTGAGGTCCCGTCCTGACTGAATCAGGAATATTGTGCATTACTCTTTCCTCTTTCTCTCCCACAGCGTGTATTATGAAAACAACTTAAGAATGAAAACAGACTTTTTGTGGAACATTGTTCGCACTGAGCTGGTTGTAAAGGATCATGAAACTATGCACAAGTGTAGGGGACAGGTCAGGGGAACTCTTATCTGGGCTACGTTCAGGTGGTCCACTATTGCAGGGGTGAGGGTTTTTTTTAATGAGAGGGTGAGGGTTGGAGGGATCTCTGCCTCCTGGCCCCTCCTCCTCTGATCCAGATTGACCTAGCTCTACATCACCATGCTGTGTATTCCTAAAACCAATGAGCATCTCACTCTAGCACTGTGGGATTCTAGCCTGTCGCCCTCAAGGGTAATTTTCTCAGTTGTTTATGTGGGGATATTAGAGGGTGGGCTATATGGGACTAGGGCTGCTTTTTGCCTTTTTGTTTTTGAAATAATAAGTAAAATGTCTGTACTGAGATTTAATGAAAAGTCAGTGGCTTGTAATGTTTTATTTTTCTCTGTATATCTTTCTCCTCATAGAATGTGATTGTTACGACATGCACCGAAACAAATGTTTTCATCAACTATGGAGCTTCTTTCAAATATTAATAAAATAGCATTTTTCTTGGCTGTTACATTGTTGTATATTATTTTCGTTTTGTTTTTAGCCACTTTTAATCTCCCATTTTCAGTTGTCTGGGGCAGGCGTAGTAATTCTCTTGAGGTTGTCTGTAGTTTGGGTTGGCGTACACAGGAAACGACACTTCCTCCAGGTGTGAAATTTGATCAGAGATATTCTCGGACACAGTCTGCGGCTTCCTGCTCATTTCCATATAAACGGAAGAAGGACCTCGAAGCCTATGGTGCTGATTGGGTGGACAGTCTATAGGCTTGACCTAAATAGTGCAACACATAAATCCACGTTTTACAAATACAAGTAACAAATATTTTGTTAAGCATTATTAATCAATATTAGTGTTTGGGGGTTTTAAACAAAGTGAATAGAAAGGCCAAATTGCAAGTGAATCAGCCAAAAAATAGACATCTGTATGTTTTTGTGATAGTCTAGTATTAGCAAATAATAAAAAATAGGTAGCAGGTTGAGTGCTTGCCTACTGGGATTGTGCCCCTGGGGAAGACATTTTACACACAATTATACTGGTTATAACAAACATAACACTAAAGAAAGAAAATGTTTTAAATGTTAAATGTTATTGAATGTATTATGGTCTATCAAGTTAATCTGAAAAGTAACATACAGCAGTACAATGTAATACTCACAAAATGTGCTATGCCTAGCCCACAAATGATGAGCAGAATAAGCACAGTTGCTGCAGAGATGGTGAACAATACAAGTGGATAAACAGATGAGCATGGGCACAACTTCTCTGTAGAACAATTATATAAAAAAATATTAAACCAAAAGCAGTCACTGCAGGGTTGTACAATGTCTCGCAAATCTAACAGTAGAGTAATGATTTTAACAGTCACTTTAATACAGGAATCAGGAATGTATTAATCACATACCTTCTGATTCAACCAGTAAGAAGATCTTTTGGTCATCGATGAAATGCTTTGATGAGTTGTCCTCTGTGATCTCCCACAGGTACAGCCCAGTGTCATCAGACTCCAGGTCCAATAAAGTGACATTAACTTGTGCAGAGTAGAGACCACCATACAGATCCACACGTCCTCTGTGTTTAGGGCTCACCCTGGGATGTTCACCCCGGCTTAGGGAGAGCAGGGTGCTCTGACTATGGGTGTTGTGGTGGTACAAATGTAGATGGGTGCTCTGCTCTGTGATGGGACAGGACAGCTCCACAGACTGGCTCTCACTCACATGCAAAAACACCACCTCTGCACAAACTGAAACACAACACTGCATTTGATTTTAATACACTGTGATTTAAAATTAAAGAACCCACAAAAGCTTGTAAATCATCTCTTCCAAATTGGGTAACTATTTGGACTATTTGGATTGAAAGATCAATTTAGCCAATACAAGAATCAACAAAGGCAACAGTTCCTAGTCTACATATACATTAAATGTAACTACAATAGAATGAAGCCTATGCTTTAAGGAGCTGACAATGTAGGTCCTACTTTATAACAAGTAATAATAAACATTTTAAACCATTTAAAATAATGTCAGTGTAACCATTTTGTTTATGATACACAGTGGCCAATATTTTACTTTAAAAAATAAATACAGTAGGCCTATATAATTTATGCTCCTGTTTCTTACCTTTAGAGATTTGAGTGAAGACAAGAATCCCAAACAGTACCATCCTCATTTATCTGTCTGCACAAAAACGCATTACGCTATAGGCCTGTTGCAAGTTTAGCCAGAGGCCACCCTTGTCTATTTTCTCATCATACTCTTCCGTTTTGTTCTTATTGTTTAGTTTATTTTAACTCACAGCGGTAAGGGGAAGCTGCAACTGTCGTCACAATCAAGTCAGCCACCCACGTCTTCCTTTGTGTGGACTGAAGGCCCCGCAGCTTACTGCTTATATATAAAATCAAAATATATATGGCATGTCCGGTCCATTTATGGAAAATAACATAATATACAATGTGACAAAAAGAATGTGACTTCTATAAAACTTTCAAACGAGAATGAAGCTGAGAGCCAATCAGTGTTAAGGAGGCGCAGGTGTGCACGCGCGCCACTTTAAACTGCGCCACAGGCCACGCAGTTTTGTTTGTTTTCTATACAAACTTTACTATTTTAATGTCATCTATGGGGACTTTGCATTTTGTGGCTTTATTTGGCGTTTTGTTGTCTGAGCTTTATGCTGTCCCGCCTTTTATTTCACCGCCAAAACCTTTCAAACAGAACGCATTGGTTGAGAGGCCTCGGCTGACAGGAGGCCAGGGCAGCAAGCAGGGCCACCGGGAAGGGGCTGATGAAGAGCGGGAGCAGATCAAGTCTGTGACCGTGAGCTGCCATCCGGACTCACTGGAGATTGTGATCCAGGCTGATCTGTTCGGTGTGGGCGCTTCAGTAAAGGGCAGTGACCTGCGACTGGGAGTGGACAATGATGAACGCTGCAAACCAGTGTTGTCTTCTAATGATGAATACAGGATCACTGCTGGGCTGTTGGACTGTGGCACCAAACACTGGGTAAAAAAATAATAATAAACTCCTTATCTCAAAATGTTATTTTCGGTGGTTCATGACTGGAAACGATCTGTTATTTTGGGGCTTAGGTGAGGTACATTTTTATTTGGCAGCTCAGACATAGGAACATAAAGACAACAGTTTAATTAACTAGTCTGAAAAACTTGTGTTTGTTACCCAAATCTTACTTTATAACTTTACTTACTGTGTGCAGATGACTGAAGAGTCCCTGGTCTACACAAACTTGCTCATCTACTCCCCTGAGCCCTCTGCAGGTGGAGTGATCCGGATGGAGGAGGCAGTCATTCCCATAGAGTGTCACTATGAAAGGTGCAGACATTTTACCCAGCACTTAATATTAAATCTCCAATTTAGACTTTCTTTCTTTAGAATAGAATTACTGGGTCATAGTAGCTCACAAACAACAGTAATATTTCTCTGTTACTTTTTGTCTCCAGAAAATACAGTCTAACCAGCTCTGCACTCTTTCCTACCTGGATTCCTTTTGTGTCCACAATGGCAACTATGGAAAAGTTGAACTTTGCTTTGAAAGTTATGACTCGTAAGTGTAAATGTGCCCATTAGAACTAGTCTGCATTGCTTATGGCTGTGATTCTGTGCAGCTGACTGGCTCTACAAAAGGACCTCAAATGTGTTTTACCTTGGCGAGCCCATTCCCATTGAGGCGTCTGTCAGACCTGGGCACCACATGGGCCTCAGGGTGTTTCTGAGCTCTTGTGTGGCCACCCTTACCCCAGACGAGCACTCCTCACCCAGATATGTTTTTATTGAAGATGGGTAAGCAAGTAAAATAACCTTGGCTATAAAAGACGAGCCTAAAGCTCAATGTGGCACTCATCCTACAGGTGCCTGCTCGACTCCCAAGTTCCTAATTCAAGGTCCCAGTTTTCGTCAAGAGTCCAAGATGACAAGCTTCACTTGGTTCTAGATGCTTTTAGGTTTCATAATGAGGACAGAGGAGAAGTGAGTTGAATAAAGATTGATCTATAATTTTAAAAGTATTTTAAATAACTTTGAATTGTTGCCTTGGCAGCTTTACATCACCTGTCAGATTATTGCCGTTCCAGTAAATGATGCAGATTCACCCAATAAAGCTTGTACTTTTATTAATGGAAGGTAAGTCTTATCCACTCTGTCTTGTTCTTGTGGCATCTTGTAAATTATGTCTGAAATGTACAGCAGACGGCCTTCTCAGCAGTGCTTTAATTTATGAATCATGACAAAATCTTATTTAAAATATGCCTGGAGGACACTGCATAAAAATGTTAAAATTTAAATTCCACATGCTTCTGCTTTTCTGGAATCTTGAGTGGAAAGGTGTATCTATGAGGATTGGAATGTTATTTGTGCTTCATTTACAAAAGGTGGCGTTCAGCTGACGGCAATGACTACTTGTGTGGTTATTGTCAAACCCAAAATGAAGAGGGCTTCATACAAGACAAACTGAGTGGTTCGTTCAGTCCTCGAGGGCTTGGAAGGGTAGCAAAACCTGAAACCTTCTGGAGAAGTGGATTAAAGACTGCCCAGGGTAAGTCTTTTTGGTGGCATTTTGTGTTTTAAGTTCTTACCACAGGATAATATCAGTGTGTATTCTCAGACTGACTTTGGTCTTTCAGAACGGGACAAAGAGGCCATAGTTGGTCCACTTCTAGTTCTCCCATTTGAGAAGAAAATGGATACAAAATTTAATGTACCTCTGTATGGCAGCTCCTGGCGAAGTGGAGTGCCTCAAAATACAGGTGATTTGAATTATGGTTATATTTAGTAGACTACTTATTCAAGTCTGAATTGGTGAAGTATAGCCTTTTTCTGTGACAATTTGTAGTCCATGTTTGAATTGTTCTCAGTGGAAAAGGTTTTGGTTTTGGCTCCCGAAGTTTTGTCCAGCTCAGAGGAGGCAGAGAATGTCCCTGAGACTGAGGAAGACTTTCCAGATGTAACAAACAGTGATGAAGGTAAACCAGACAAGATTGTTCTGTGATTTTTAGTGAACTGATTTTTTTAAATAATTTTTTTCCACAGATGATGTTGATGACTATGAAACTTCAGGGGAAGAAGATGTAGAAGATGACTCTGATGTGTTCAGTGATACGATGGACCCTTGGTTCAAAATAAAGGAAAATCTGGAAAATGAAACTACAGCTAGTCCCAGTAATGTCAGCACAACTTCACTGCCAGATGTTTTCACTACCTCACTGAATGACACAGAGTCTGATGTTACCATTACAATGGAACCAAAGAGATAATAAACATGCTTTGATAACCTTTTTAAATGTGTTCAGTTTTTTTTCTGCAACAACAAATCCAGATGTAAGTCCATATGTGTGATTTATTAAACATGTGAAGAATGTTAATTTCATCATATGGTAACGAAGTGTTTTTGTCTACACTTCACAAACATTTCCCTTTTTATATATTCTATGGTTAAAATTAAAACTTAAGTTTGTGGGCTGTAGTGACCTCTGCTGTCCATTTTTGTTATATCATTTATATTTTTGTTAAATTCATAGAAGGATGAACTTCTGAATTATTTAGTGCTTTTGTTTGAACATTGATTCTTCCCCCCCCCCCCCCCCATGTCGTGATTCACTTTTGATTAGGGGTGAAACTTTGAAATTAAATTATTGGGCGGAACCAATGTACGTTTACAATATCAGCCGGGGAACTTGGAGTGAACACTGCGGTAGCTGCGCATGCGTGGTGGACACTGAAATGTAAACACCTTGCTAGAGGCTGTATTTTGTTGCTTTCTTTCATAATATACAGATATAGACACCATAGTTACAGGTTTTAGTGTGTTTGCTGTGGCCGTAGTCTTGGCAGAATCATGTTTACGTCACAAACGTCGTCCTTCGTCCAGGATTCAATCGATGTGGAGGAGAGAGACGATTTTGATAATGAAGACATTCCTGCATACAGTCAGAAGATCCAGTTGAACTGCTATTATACCATCTACCTTTATCAAGGCACAAGGTAATCTGAACAGTTTGTAAATGCGGTGTAATGTACTGATGTAGCTGTAGTAAAATGATTGTACAATTACTCCTTAACTTTTGGGCAGGCTTATTTGTGCTTTAGGCTAACCTACAGGTACATTAACTAAATGAAACTTTTTAATGTAAGGTTCGTCACCTGCTTGTCTACATCAGATTGTATATATAAATGGTCTACTTGTTGTTTGCTGGAAGATTACACCATATTTTATGAAGCTTGCATTTATTTAATTATAAGTCTTTACATTTCAAAATAAATGAAATCATTACTTGCATTACTACCTTTAGAACGATTCGATCTGTGCGTGGCCTGGTTGCATCATGGGAAGTTTAGTGTATGATATGATAAATGTATGATAAAAAAAATTTAAAATCTCAAGCACACACTTGCTATAAACCTTTTATTATAATTGTTTTGCAATTCTTAATGTATTTTTTTCCTCAATTATTTCTAATTTTTAATTTTGTACATTTGTACAAAGGTACTTCAATACTTTTACTAAAGTAAAAAAGCATTTCAAGATTTTAAGTTTTACCTAATTTTAAATTCCTTTGCACAGTACCTTTATCTTTCCCCTATGACCTACTGAGAATAACAATTCATAATAAGTGAACTTTTGGCTGAGGCTGAACTTGTTGAGAATTTATTAACATCTTCAAAAACAGGGAATAAGTGAACTGTGAATTGTCTTAGATCTGAGACTACTGGGGAAAATGTGGCATGGAACCAACGAAGAGCAGATTCTACAACAAGTCAGGAGGACTTTAGGTAACAAGGCGTCTCCTCCGGCCCTTGTGGTTGTTTCTCTTTGACTTTCACTGTCTTCATTCATGAGCTGCAGTTGGAAATCAACAAGTCATCATGGAATTACTCTTTTATCTATCATTTAGTTTTTATTTATCATTGCTGTGTGGCTGAAATAAACCGTTTTTTTCAGATCTTGCTTGCTGTGCTGTACACTTCTGTCTGTCATTACTGTTTTGACTTGCAGTGTTTGGTTGGTGGTCCTCTACTTGAGTGTGTGTTGTGATGGATCTGGCTTTCAGTCATTGGCCATAATCTCTCTCCATTGTCATGATTGGCTTTAAATACCACGTCACATTATGCATAGCTTTGTATTATTTAGTTCTCAGTCTCCTCTCTCTACAGTTTGACACTTATAGACAGCAGCCTGCCAGTAGAGGCAGAACCAGAGCTAAGGACCTACATTTCAAGGAGGCTGAGCAAAGGAGCTCTACTTGGAGGGATGGGAAACATTGCCACAGTAGAGCTTAGGTAATAATGTGCAATATTGTATCATTCAAATATGGTGTTTACCTATAAATTATTGTTAATAAATGAGATATTTATTCATTCCCAGTATTCCTGAGCAGGCAGTGGGCTGCTACTGCTGTCTCCTGGAGCAGGAAAGATCTCCTGAACAGCCCGATTCTGATGGCAATGGATACGTCATCTGCTTTATGGGTGGCTCTGAGAAGGGGCTTAACCTATATCCTTAACACCACAGGCATTATTTTGAGGTATATGCTAGAACTGCACTGTGTTTCAACCAAGAAGCAATAACATAGAACAACTGTTTAGATACAAGCCCTACCAATTTCTTTAACTAAGTCTACATTTAGATTAGAGCTGGATAAATATGTCCAGGGCTTACACAGCAGTCTGCAAACCCCAGTGGTAAGCAATTAAAGAACTATGAGATCTTTTGATCTAGTTCATAGTCATTTCTTGTTCCTCCTTTCTGACAGCTGAACAATCTTGAGACAGAGGTGCGACCCTATCTGAGCCGTTGGTACGAAGAATCTGTAATGCACATTTACCGTGTTGTGCAGTTGGTCCAGAATAACATAAGCTTCTTACTACATGCAGTAAGTTGTTTTCTTCTTTACTTTTTATTTTGCACTCACTTAACTTGATTTTGGTCAATTCGCAATTGTTTCCGTAATTGTTGTTCATATAGGCTTTGAGTCATACACCTGTAGAAGTAATAAATTCAGATGAGCGGACAAAGGCGGATGTATCCAGGTGAGAAAACCCTGTAAGCTTCACAATCCTACTCCTTGCCATGTCATTATGCTGTTAATAATTATCTGCTTTATTAGGTTCATCAAAGCTGCCAGTTTACAGGGCTTATCTCAACAAGACACTACTGCAGCGTCTTTATGTAAAGCCATGTCTGAGGATATGCACACAGACCTCATCATAGACTGTGCTACCAGCCCCCCCACCTTGAGCAACTCGGGTAACCACCATTTCATTACGTTTGCAGGAAAACAATGCACATATCAGTCTAATGCTTTCCCTCTTTTAGTCACCAATCGGTTCTGTGACGACTGGATTCAGGCCTTTCTAAATGCGGCAGAGCGCTGTAACCCTTTCCTGCTACGACAAATTTTAGAAAACTTCAAATTAAAGGTATATACATGCTCCATTTATTGTGTTGTATTAAAATAAGTTAAAAATGTAATGAAAATGAAGGGCTTGTCATATGAAAGCTATTTTATGTTTTATCTTTTTAATCGTGGTTAAAATTTAGGATTAAAGTAGTAATACTAGGTCTAAAATGAAACATTTCAATTGTATTATATTGTGGGTCACATAATCATTTTGGGTAGAACATACTCATACTGTCTCATTCTTAGGACAGCCGTTTTAAAAATCTTTTAAACTTTGATATTGCTTTTAATAGCTGTGATAATCTTATTATAGTATAGTATACATAGTATAAACCATATAAAAATGCAATTTATATGAATACTAAAGCAGCTGTGTTTGTCTTAATCCCTTGTACAGATAGGGTCTATAGGAAAAGAAAGAAAGCCATTTTATTGTATTGATGTTTGACACTATAATATGTTTAACATGTCTATGCTGTAACACTCAGGCCATCCAGGACATGAACAGTCTGAAGAGGTTTGTGCGTCAGGCGGAGATGAGCCACTATGCGCTGTTCCGCTGCTGTCAGTTCCTGCAGAGCTGTGGGAACGGCGACGTGCTGTTGCAGAACGCCCGCTCCGAGCACAGTGACAGCACCGAGGCCTGCAGCATCATCAGTGTCCTGGAGGAGGTCATTAGAGAGCAGGCCTAATAAGCACCACAGGGCTCTAACAATCAGCCAGACTTAAATGTGTGTTCTGAAACTTTGAAGGGTGAAGGGTTTGCTTCCTGCTTGTCTTCATGGAAATACTTTGCTTAGAAAGTTCCATAGTATGACACTGAGCATATTTATTTTGCACTTTAAAGGCATGCTATGTAACTTTTCTCGAGGATACAGCACCATCTTGTCTCCATGGAGATGTGATTTTTTTTGCTGGAATTTTCCACAGTTTGATTAAATATATTTAGTATCTTGCTTTTATTCAATTTCAGGTGTTTATATTGCTTAAAAATACCCTGAAAACATGCACACTTACAGTGAGCAGGGTCTCCTCTCCACAGAGCTGAGTTGTAACTTGGTCTGGTGGCACCACCTGCTCAACTTCATGGAGGTAGATTAATTTAATATCATACTGTGAAAAATTCCAGATAAATCAATAATATCTCCATGGCAACAAGCCAGTGACGGACTCGCCACCAGAAAAGTTTCATAGTGCAACTTTTAATTATTGAACAGAGTGTGGCGGTTAGCATACCATTAATATTTACGTTTTAGGGTTTTCTCTACAAATGATTCCTTTACAGTTTTGGTTTTGTGGTTTTAGAAAAAAATGCATAATTTTATGTAAATGTGCAATTCAGACACTAATCACTACAACATCTGACCAGAGTGCTCCTCAACTGCCCTTAAATGATTACACTATATATTCACTCATAATAACACTGCACCTGTAACAATAAACAGGTGTGTATATTCTTACTGTTAAATGTGATTTTGAACCAGTTAAGGAGGTTAGCAAACTTTAAAAAATAATGACGACTAATAGTGAGCCTCAAAAATATTGTTCATCTTTGTTTGTTGAACAATAAGTTGATATAGTAATTAGTAATAGTATTATTAGAAGTAGTCATTGTCAGAGGTAAATAACACAATTGATACTTTGCAGTGACATCACACTGGGGGTGTTCTACTTGTATGCCTATGGCAGAATGTTCGGCAGTTACCATGGTGACACAATGCACACTGCCAAAAATGTTCTAAATCAGTCTGAAAACACAAGAAGAAAATAAAAAAAAAATCTTTCTGGTCAAATTGTTAAACAAAGTTCAGATTAAAGTTGAACTTGAGTATCAGAGCTTCAGACAGAGCAGAGCCTACAGTTAGCATCACACTTCCAAGGAATTTTGATGACATGAGCTGCAACTGATCAATACGGTTAATATTCTGGACAATTAATACAAGTTTCCTCAAATACCTAGTGTCTTTATTCACACGTGGGTCAGTGACATTTAACAGACTTTTACATGTGTGTACAGATATATACATAATTTTATTAGTAGGCACAGTTTTATAGTGCTTATCATTTTGAGTGCACAAATCACTTTTATCCCTTGCTTGTTAACTTATGTCTCTTAAAAAACAAAAACAAAACACTACTTAACTGGAATATGCATATAATATAACCATGAAATGTGTTGTAATAAATAGATTGTCCTCCTTGTATAATGTTTTTAAAAGTTTTTTTTTTTTTTTTTTTTTAGCACATGTCATTCTCAAAGCTCATACCAGTTTGAGACTTAAACTGAACAACTGTGCTATTATCTTTTATCAAGTTTGGAGAAAATACTAATGCAAAGATGTCAATATATATACTTAAATATTTAAAAAGTTGTATTTAGTATTACATTGCATAACTGTCTCTCTTAAAGAAAACCTTACATTTTTATTTAAAAGTCATTCCAGTCCAAAGTGAAAGAGCAATAAAAGGGTTGTTGCAAATGTTTTAACTGTGAACAAACCTGACCTGTAAATGCAAACTGTGGTGTCTGTATTTTTGTGGTGGTTATAATGGCTGCATGGTTATGGTCTTGACTATAATGTCCTTAAATATTGTTACCTGACGCATTGTGCATCTAATAAATATGTGAACTGGTGTACATTTTAAATTTTGTGCAAAATAATACTATGTACAAAACTAAATCTGATGCTTTCTGATTATATTTTCCAGTAGGGTCCATCCTCAGGATCTGAAACCACAAAAACAAAATAATATTACAGTTTTACTCAAACAAAGGCTCTGCAATTTGCATGGCAGTAAATGGATAATGACCAATTTTACACGCAATTGCTCTTTTGTAAAAACATGGAAGTGTTTACCTATGCAGTCATCTGCTGACTTCCTCAAAAGGGCACTTGGTACATCATAGGGGTTTTCTGTGGATGTATTCATTATGTATAAACATAAATTGATTGAGAATAGTTTCAGTAATACTCGTTCTTACCTTGATCAGGGAGTTTTCTGTAAGACAAAGGGCAGTCATACTCCCCATTGTCGGTAGATGTAGACTGGTCAGCCCTCTGACAAACTATTAGAATTATTTAAGATTATTACTTTAATGAAATACAAGTTATAACACTAAATCAGTAACCACAGTACAATTATTGACAGGTTACTTACTATTTCGAGCAGGCAAAATATCATAGTCTCCATCCAGTCTAATCTCTTCATTTGTTTGGAAACCTGTTAATAAACATATTTGGCTGTATATTTGTAATAAGATATATATATATGAAACATGAATCTGAACATTACTATTGGGCTGGTGAAAGTTTTGATAGACTGGTTCCTCTGATGTGGGGAATGTAGAGTCCGGCTCAGGATCAGCAGGACTACAGGTGGTATCCATGGGTTCTACAAAACACTCCACATCTGCATAGATGTTGCTGTTTATGCTCTGCTGCTCACACACTTCACGTCTGAAAACAAGACATTGTCAACAACTTCACTTATTTTACATTGTGTTTGTATGCAAATATTAGCATGAAGTGAACCAATGACAAAACCCACACCTGCTTACAAATAAAAGTATTATTATGTAGGCTTGTCTCAGAGGAAAAGTAATTTCTCCTGAATTGGAATTAAACTCCCCATTTGTATTTAGAATGACCCGACCCTGTTGTAATCTAACATAACATGCTATTTATGTTCCTGCTGTCTAATAAGGTCAACTGTGGTCTCTGGTCTTCTTCTGTCAGGCCAAAGCAGGCACACTGTCAGACTGCAGTAAAGTAGATAGCATCTACTGGTGATCTAGTGGCCAATCTAGTCTATTCTAGCTTTAAAGTTTGGTCACTTCTTTTGACTGGGATAAATGAAGTGATGTGATTGATAAATACATAAATCAGACACTTCTCCTTATTTATGTTTACGTACTTTCTGTGTGTAGTCCCAAGGCCAGAAGTTGAAAGATGCATGGCTTTCCACAAGTATCTGACCCATTCTTTTCTAAGAGTGGCTGACTCTGCTGCCTAGACAAAACGTATTTATGATACAGAAATAGCCTCGTCCTTTAATACATTTTCAAAAGAAACTCACAAGCATTTTCTTCTTCCCACTGGTCATGATGATTTCAAACATAAAGCGTTTACTGTCATCATGTTGGACCTCTCGTACTGACTGAATCTAAGATAAAACTTTGTTTAGTTTCCATGAAACAGAAAATCACTTTATATTCTTGCACTTACCGTGTACATGTAGTAGTGACCTCTAAGGTGTAACTGTGAAGTAAGCCATGTCAAAACAAGTTAAAAATTTAAAATATATTTATACATTTAAATTGGAAATACACTTACAGCACTTCCATGTTTTTGTGTGTAGAAAAACAAGGTGGTGTTTTGTAGACTGAACCAATATGTCACCCATCTTAATTTCTGTAAGATGCTCAAAAAATTATCATGAACAAGAAGTTATATTGAACTATGCTATATATTATGAAAATGTATGAATGTTTTCAACCAGTCTGACAAATTTACTTTTCGACTGCTATAAATTTGTCTTCCATCTATAAACAAAATTTGCTCATAAAAACCTTGGGAATTTTGACCAGAAAGTATAAATAAATTATCTTACCAGAGTATCTTTTCTCTTCTGAAGAAAACTCTCAAAGCTCAGATCATTATCCTCATTCAGTGACATGTTGAGTAATTCAAGTGTATACATTTACTGTGAAACCCTATCTACCTGTCTGTGGTGTGTCACTTCCCTCTCAAGTCAAAGCTGTATCTTTGGCCTCATGTGGGCCTTTTACTTCTCTATTCTGTCCACACTACCTAAATGTGTCACACACTTCACTAACCAACATCACAAAACTCACATGAAAGCAATAGTTCAAGACACTGTAAGTTTATACTGTTTATTGTAAATTAAATTGTAAAGATGACCTAAAACACATGGTTCTGATAAAAGATAAATGTACTAGTTATCTAAAAATTTAGTCTAATCATTGAGATCTAACAAAGTGCACTGATCAGGCCATGATGGTATGACCACAGACATATAAAAACAGTGATCTCTTCTTAGCACCTGTTTTTAGGTTGGATGCAATGGGCAAATGGGCACTTTTTTTTTTTTAAAGTTAAATGCATACAGCCTATGCACGAGAACTGCCAGAGGTCTGCAATGGTCAATTTGTGACATGGGCTTGAACTATGGGCAGTGGTCGTCATGTTGTTCCTGATCAGTTAAAAACAAACTCTGGATAAAATGAATAATGTAAAAAGCAAATCATATCATACAAAAATACATGAAAAATTATATCCCTTTATTCGTCTTTTGTGACGAAAACAGGCATTTTGACAGACAACAAAGAAACCCAATATTAATAAATTAATAAACACAAAAATAAACAGTGCTTGACACCCAGGACCTTTCTGCTGTTCAGTTGCTGGGGGAGAGAGACTTTCTGACATCTACAGCCCAGGTCTATAACAGCTTAGTACATATTTATATTTATATACTGCATATACATATCTATAAACAGTGTGACACCTTTAAGGTCACCGCTCTAAAGTTTAATCTAATAACACTGAGGAAGAAACATCCTTACGGATCAGAAGAATGCATGTACAAATAGATTTAAGGGCTCATGATATATCAAAAGTAACCAACCCTTTTCCCCATAAAGCCAAACAGTTTTGTATGCTGTATAATGTCTTTTTGCTCTGTTCATGATGCATCAGAAAGAAAAGCACACGAGTGTGGGTGGGTGGTCAGTCTTTTGAATGGAGGCACAGGCCCGTGGGCAGGGGGAAATGGCACATCTCCTCACCGCTGTTTGACCAGTGCTCTGTACACGGCAAAGCCCAGAACGGCAAACACTGTGGCACCGACACTCGCCCGCAGCCAGAACGTAGAGTTTTTCAGGTCAGCTTGAGCCATGTGTCTATGGAAACAGAGAAATTTGATTATGTTTAGTATTACATAAGCCTCTGCAAAATTTAAACATAATGGTTTGTTATACATTATAAAACTTTGTGCAAGTCTAATAACAACATAACAAATTGGTAGTGTGTGTATGCTATTGAAGATAGGAGGTGGGTTCTAAAGGAAGTGCATGGAAATATAAAGGTAGGGAACTAGTGCTAAAATACAAATTATTTTTAAGATGTGACACTAATGAGCGAAGTAAAGGGCATTTGAAATGTCCATAGTCAAAACCTACAACACAAATCCACATTGGATCTGATACTTTCAATGACAAATGCAACCACCATAAATGACCTTATTTCAATATCCAAACAGGCCTGTGGCTTCAAGTACATCAATAAATACCACTAAAATCCCTGTTTTTACCTGGGTCAGTTGACAAGTAGCTCCTTATAGATGGACCAATTTGGGCTGAAGAAGTTGGGCCTCCACCAGCCCACCCCTTATACACATGCATCCACACTGAACACACAAGCCATCGAGAAGGGGATCTCTCACAGCATAACGGCCAAAAGGTTTTTTCCTCAATTCACTACACACAAATCACCCAGCTCCACCAAGCATCCACTCCAACTACCCAGACCTAATGGAGGAATAGCTTCAACCATGAAATGCAACCATAGCTCAAAGAATACCACTGCAAACTGACAAAACACACCACCAAAACACCTAACGTGCTTTTAAAATTATATTTGGGAACTACTAAGGTAAAGCATGACTACATTTCTGGTCGGAATAATTCAGTAAAATCTTTTTTACAGAATTTTTACTTAAATTTTACATGTTTGTTTTAATCAAGTTTGCATCCAGTTTTAAGTGGAACAAAAGTCTTATCTGTCATTTTCAATTGGGTTAACTTTATTATGGTGTGTCAGCCTCCTGCCAAACCAGGCCTCATTTGTTAAGGCACATTTTTTGAAGCCCTGGAAGAACAGCCTTCATATGGGTTCCAATAAACAATAAACATGCTATTATTAGTTGCAAAAGACAAACTGATTAATAATGCAGCAACAAAAACAAAACAGTTAATGATTTAACAAGTGAGGAAAGAAACAACTGTGTGAAAAGAAACCCCCAAAGTATATCATATAAACACTGACCAAGCTCTTAAGATTTATAGTTGACAAGCTTTTTATCCATATTTATGCCAGTAGATGGAGCCATGTTAATATCTATGGCAGCTAAGATGTAAAGGGAGCCATGCAGCAGAGATGAAGGAGCATTAGTAAAATGTGACAACATGCAAAAAGAAGAGGAAGAGAGGCAGCCAGAAACACGTATATGGATACCTAAATCAACAATATGACAAGACAGAAAAAAAAACAGGATCAAATCTCCATGATGATTGATGACAAAGAACAAAATCATCAAGTATAATGGGTTATTATAATTACTATAAATGTAGACCAGACCAACAAAATAACACATAAGTAGCTTCAGATCTACATTTGTCCTTGAGTTGGGAATACATATAAATGCAAAATAATAATCAGAACTCAGTGTTTCTGTAGGATTTTCTGCAGGTGAATTGAACATTTTTAAAACAATTGAAAATAAAGACTTAATTCTATTCATAAACTCTTCATCTACTATCTGAAGAGCTTTTTGGAGAAGTCCATTTACAACTAAAAATAAAAATTTCACAAGCTAGCAAAGGAATCGTTTCTTAAACTGACAAATGCCCTTGTATTTTCTAAATGTAGGATGTGCTAAAAAAATATGTAATCTAATTCCGAGTTCTAGCTAGAAGACCCTGCAGAAACCTTGAGTTAATGCCATTCAATCAGATTCAAGGTTTTCATAGTGTAATGAGACAAATGGTTAGAAATTATTTTCTCATGCTAAGGACATGAATCACTGCAGGGCATAACCCATAAACTACTTATAAAAACCCTGGATTAGTTGAAATTGAAAGTATTAGTCTACTGTACAGAGTGTCTGTTTTTGCAAAAGCACTCACATTACATGCATTCCTGCACACCGTTACCTCCCCATAAGCAGCCTAGGTGTTATCTGGTACAGCGCAAAGCCACATTGCACTGTTAAAGTGTAAAGACAGAGGCCTGGATGGAGATGAGGTAAAGACCATGACAAAACTCAACTCCCATTAATTTAAGCACCACTATTGTACACAGTGAACTACCCTGCAGTGAGGTGCCCTGTAAACCTGATATTAAAAGGAGGATAAAAGATGGCCACTACTACCAGCACAGTCACCACAGTTAAACAGAGCTGGGGTCTAAACTAGAGCTCTAAGGCAGCTTCACACGACCAAAAAGGGGAGCACAAGAGACAGAAGCGTCTATGTTAACACTACAGTTTGTTCTGGGCATGAACCTGTTCAACACGACCCTGCGGATTTGAGCCTTAATATTGCTCAGCAGCTCCAACTTGAGGAGGTTTTGACACAGGCAAAAGGTGCACCTGTTGCACGCACAAATGCAGCGGAGACGGGCGTGGCTGTGGAGAGACAGACAACTACATTCACCTCAATTACAGATGACCACAGCATAGCTAACACTTCTATTGAGTTACTATAGCTTTCCCTTACTTTTTGAACACTTCAGCTTTGTTTATTTATATCCCTCTTAATTTTCAAGTATAATAGTATGTTGTATTTTGCGGTTTAACATCAACAACATAAAATTACTTTGCATCTCCATTTCGCTAATCATCAACCTTGCTGTCTAAAAAAAAAAGCACAGGCATGTTTGTTCATCTACTGTATGTACATCACTCATTAATAGTTTGAAATTTTACATTTTGTAGCCCTATGATATTGCCCCTTTTCGGAGACTGTAATGAGTTTCATGTTTACCAATCATATAGGAAGTAACCATAATGTTGTGGTGAATACTTACGGATACATGGCCATAGTAGTAAGTCTTGTGTAGATTTCTTTGCCGGGTGCATCGGTTGTGTTACATGTGAACGGCTGGGGCGGGTGGAGCTTATGTTTGCGACAGAAGTCATGCGGCATCAGACTGTAGTGCTGGCGGACTTCATGCAGATCTGACTTGGCAGCAATAAGAACACAGGGCGTCTTGCTATCTATAAAGTATTGCTGTACAAAACAAGTTGGGACAACATAAATATAAGAACTGACAAATTATTATATTTAGCTAACAAGGTATACCTTGTAGACTTTGGCAGCATATTCAAAAGAGCGAGGATTATTGACGTCGTAAACCAGGCAAACAACATCACAGGCCAAATCAGACTCCGAAAGGAAGTCAAAGTCTGGCATCACCTCGTGAAGCTTGTGGGCGCATTGTTTGAATAAAAGGAAACAAAGATTAAATAAACACTCAGACCAGTATTATCGAAAAGATAATATAATAATAAATGATAAGAAGTGTATATATTAATAACATTTCGGCAATTGGGCAATTAGACAATGATATTTTAAACAGAAGGTCTTTACCAGCAGGTATTTCTCCTGACCGTAGACATATGTTGTGCTGATAGCGTAGAAAGACTTGTGGTCTTCCCTAATGCGCCTCTGTCGCTGTGGACAAAAAAAATCCATCAAAACACCCACAACAAACCATCTACTGTATTAACATGCTGCCAAATGTAATTTATTTCAACCTGAAGATTCCTGCCCAAAAAGGCTTGAAGAAAGCCACTCTTGCCACTGCCTCTCGCTCCCAGCACATTGCAACGGAAAACACTACGCTGAGTCTGTTTCTTTTGCAGGTCAATACGCTTGTTACGAGTTACTAAAAGAAAAGAAAATCTATTTAACATTCTGATCATTTTTAAGGGCAGCACTACCACCATGCTGCCTCACCTGTGATGGCAGCTGCCTGAGACTCCTGTTCATAGATGATCGAGTATCCCAGGTAGCCCAGATATTCCAGACTACGCTGAACATCTAAATAGGTTGTAAGCCTAGAAAATGGTATGAAATACATGAAGAAATAATGTAACACATATGTGACCAAGATGCCATGTGTGTATTTTTAGCTACTACATGTGGGCACTCACGTCCACTGTGAGAGGTATCCCTGGTATGTGATCCACCCCTGATCATTGGTGCAGACTGTGTTGTTCACATCAGGACCCCAAGGCATGTAGGGGAACACTTTGAATAGGTCCTTCACCTCTTCTGGAGACAAAGCACAATCTCTGTCCTGCAACACAAATGTGCATGAAGTTAACAAACATACAACAATATGATTTGTTTACACTGCAAGAAACGTTGGTCATATTAAGTTATACATTTGTTTATTACAACTAAAACCAAAACATGCAATTCACCTAACTGACTTGATTCAAACAGGGGATCTTCTGGTTCAGAGGTAAATCCACCACATCCCATATTTGGTCCTAATTATTTTTATTTTTAAATAAATTTGTATTTATATTGTATGAACCATCACTTACTTTGTCATGTTTGTCAAAGACACTTTGGAGGAAGAGGTAAGCATTGTGGTTGAGCTCAGTGGTACAGTCTGGAGGGATCTTTATACTGGAATGTTAGAAGTCTATTAGACAAAAGACATTTAACAGGTCAGAATTATGTTGAGTGCTCAAGCTCACATTGGAAAGAGGTACTCCTGTGTTAGCTCCAGGTCATCATCGTATCCAAACCTCCTCAAGACAGTCCATGTGGTCTCATGGCGCCCCCTCTGGATGAAGAGAGTGTGAAGGAACAGGAACCCTGCAATAACACAAGGAACCTCAAGGTCAAAAGGTTAAAAACACAACAAAAACTGATAAACATAAAATATAACATTTAAAATTCACATATAAATCTAACCTTTAAGTGTGAGTCCATTGTCCTTGACCCCATCATTCATGTTCCTCCTAACCACGTTCTTCACGTCCTCCAGAGCCTGGGGTGCCAGTGGTGTATTGAAACATGTCCTCTGAAAACAGCAGACATACAAATGTTCGATTCAGAATGTTTAACATGTCTTAACCTGCTCCACTAAACTGGTTTTGTCATTTCAAATGCAAGTCATCTGATATGGTACGTAAATCTGCAAAATGACTGTTACCTGGAAGAAATTGAGTTCATTGTCATTTAAAATGCCATCATTGTCCAGGTCAGAGACTTTGAAGATTCTGGTTAAGGCTTTAATGCAAGAAGGCTTCAGCTAAAAAAATAAATAATAAAAATGCCATAAGAACAAGCTTTTACAATCAAAAAGCTTTGTGTTTGATCTTTTCACCTCTTTGTCCTCTGGGCAGTACAGGGGTCCTGTGGGGTGAAGAACAGCTTTCTGGGCGTAATAAAACAGCTCAGAGATGTTCTTTAGGTTTTTGGCTGAGCACTGAAAAATGTAAAAATGTATAGTAACAAGACTGGAAAATAGGATGCACTGAAATCATGACATTTTATTTTATACCAACATCATAAATGTACCCCCAGAACCAGATCTTTTAACATGACTTCCCTTTGTATAGCTCACCCCTGAGAGCCTAAGCTTGTGTGTGCATGCCCTCACGTCTCTCCTGTGCCCCCCCTTTAACCTCGTAATGAATCCAGATCAGTGCAGTATGAGGCTCTCATGTGACAAACAGTGACACAGACGGATCCCAGTTTCCTCTGCTCTGTCTGGCCTCAAACACACACTGTCAGCACGCTCTGGCTCAGGGCGCTCAGCCCACAGTGCATATAAATCTTTTAATGAGGTGGAGAGTAAGTGGAGTCAGAAGCTGGACTGAAGTCTGAGAGCAGCAGTTCACAGAGGCCAATAATTCACAACTACAAATATATCAATGTAAAAGATTTGAGAAGAATACTGAGTGACCTATGAATGTAAATAATTCTACAATAATAATTTATTTTCATTATACATATTGTGTTGTTTTAGGGCACAAGGACTGTTCTCCATCAAATCGAAACCACAATTCAGATGGTCACGATTAGCCAATAGCAAAAAGCCATTTTATTTATGCAACAAAGTTTTATTATGTAAAGAAACTGCCAATCCTGTAGCTGAGACCTCTATAAACATTTCACAAAATGCATGATATTTTTTATTTCACTTTAAATTTAGCAAACCATCCTTCTCTTGCTCAACATAAACACTCTACGGGCATATTCATAGGCATGAGAATTAGTCACTATCATAGCTACATACTATGATATAATATGTTTCAGGACAATGTTTCCACAGTATTTATATTATATATTTGTAATAAGTCTGTGTTGCATGTCTTACCTCCACACAGGTCTCAATGTCCTGATACTGGTTCATGATTGGCAGGATGGTCTCCATGCTGCTGTGTTCAACCAGATCAGACTTGTTCCCCACAAGGATCAGTGGTACTCTGGACAAGTTTCATAGTTTTTACATTGTACTTTTGAGAAAAATAAACATCAACATCAACATGAGAACACTTAGCACTCACCTGCTGTCTTTGTCTGTTCTGTCATTTATAAGAGGAATCCAATGACTTGTCACCTACACCAAAAAGTCAGAGTCAACAACACAGAACAGTCTATTGTATTATGTCAATGGATAATGTGCCAGTATAGTTAATTACCTTTTCAATTGACTTTTTATTGTTGACAGAGTATACTATGCATATCACATTCGCCTATGAAGAGAAGAAACTTATGTTAGCTTCATGCATACACAGAATAAGTATATACCAGGACATGACAACCTTTGAGATCTCTTGATAGAGCTGCTCTTCTGACTGTTCAGCCTCTGCATAATAAACAAAAAGGGATTAGTTGAATTCATTTAAAATGAAATCAAATGAAACCTCATCTTCTACCTGAATAATCAACAATGTGAGTGGGCACCCTCTCAGGTGTGACATCTGCTGGAATGGTGATCTCCTCGGCTCGCAGTGGAACCTAGAGAAGACATAAAATGATAAATATATATACACATGTTTTAGACATTGTTTTCTGATTAAAGACTTATTCAACAGCTACAAAAGCTAGACAACAGCTACAATGTCCATTCATACATGTTGATATATACCTCATCAGGGAACTCCTCACTGACCAGAGACATAATCAGTGATGTCTTGCCCACCTTGGCTGTGAGGACAAATGAAACAGTTTAGTGGTCTTACTTCATGTAATTCATTGTCATGGACAACTGAATAGTTTACTTGTAACTGGTGATTAAGGGACAAAAATTTGCATGAATCAGTCTTGCTACCATATACCAGGCCCTACTTAGCTGCACATCGACTGACAGGCATTCCTACGTGATAGGTTTCAGTTGAAATGGGCCCTATAAAAGTTACACCTCATAGCATCTGGCGTATCAACACAACCAAGCCACCTAAATGAAAATGTAGGTCAACCTTCTGTGTGAAATAAAAATAGATCTTACAGGATACAGGCCTCTAATAATAACAACACCTCACACTTATACATTGTCCATTTTACCAAAAACAACTTCCAATGACAAAACTTCTATATCACTAAAGTGTCATATTGGTATTTTGGCTCACTTAAATATCATGAGACAGTTATGCAGGTAAATGTATGGACAGGGAATCGTGACATACATAAAAAGAAAGAGATGGTATATGTCACATTTTTATGTAGCTCTTTTCTACCTTCAAGGCACTCAAAGCGCTTTACAACAAGGAACCACTCACCCATTCACACACCAGAGTACGCAGACATTGGGGGCGAGGTAAGTCAAGTTTCTTGCGCAAGGACACAACGACAACATTCATCTGTGGGAGCTGGAATCACACCAGCCAACCTGTGGGTTAGTGGATCTGACCGCTCAACAAATAATGTTTATGTAGAGAGAGGGATTCGAACCAACAACCTTCAGATCAGTGCATCAACTGAGCTACAGCCGCCCCAACAAGAACTGATCTCCAACAAGAGATCCATTTAAAAAGGCAATCCATCATGCATAATTTGTAATACAGTGGCAGTGTAATGATAATAACAACATTAAATATGCTAGCTGTAGCAATTAGCTCCCACAGAGCGCACGAGAGGATTTCACCACTACCATCACATAAACTACTTACGTTCCCCCACGAGCAGTATCCTCACGTCCTTCCTCATGTCGGTGTTGTCGCTGCAAAGAGGACAGACTTTATTCGTGCATGTAGTCCTCCTCTGAAGCCGTCCTCCTCCACACCAGAGACAGGCCCGCTGCTGTCAAACTCTCCGCGCCTTTGTAGGGCAAAACGGACGGAGCGTACGTGCCGTTCTTTTCAGAGTTTCACGCCTCCGCTCAGTCTAGCGATGTAGATCCTTAGTGAGGATTTACATCTATACGTATTACAGAATCCTCAGCTCTATAGTTTGGTGTAAGAAGACGTATTTCTGTTTTCAGCGCTTACATAGCATCTTCCGCAGTTGTTTCGTGTGCATGCTTTGACCTAACCGGCTCCTACAGCAAGCCTATAGAGACAAAATACAAGTAGGATTTTGAAACGCTTTTATTTGCTACCCCCTGTCGACTAACAATGGAACTGGGCAGGCTGATGGTCTTACGTTTTATTAGATTTTCACATGGAAAGGATTTTCAGTCTTTGCTCGTGCTCATCATAACTGTTTATGTTGGTACACATTCAAACTAAAACAGCCCCGTGTTAAAGGTGCACTGTGAAACTTTTCTGGTTTGTCTGGAATGTATTAGATTTACCCATGTTGCATTTATTGAGTTACAGGTGTTTTTATAGCAAGAAAACACTTCATGAGGTGGCGCCATGTAGCCTCTAGGCATATACATGATGAACCAATACGGCAAATTCTGACATTCCTGAGTAGTTGACCAAAAATATCATAAAATAAATATTTGTATTGCTCTTGCACAATCCAGTCAAGAGGGGAAATAATCTGCCATTTAAAGACAGACGTAGTGACTTGGTTCACTTTTTGCGGTTGAGGTTAGCTTCAGCTGGAAAAGAAGACATAAACAAGATTTAATCTCCTAAACTTACTTATACAGTGCCTGACCAAAGGAAATGCATTTAGTTTAAATCATTAGATGGGACATGTAAGCAATTTAACCCACTCAGGGTTCCACATATGATTATTATAGCTGATTAAGCTGTAAAGAACAACAGAAATGCATTCCTAAAACATCAGTAACACAAATCAGTCACAATGCCATATGCAGTTTGTGCTTACTTGCGTAGTCCTGAGGTGCCATGCGCCGAAGAAGCACCTGTTGCAGAGCAGACAGCCACTCCTTCTGCTCCTTCTCCTCCTCGCACATAAACACATACTGCCGCACTGGCGTGTCCACCATCACACCAAACTTCCACTTGTTTCCGATGGAAAACTTCGGCACATATTCTTTCACAGAGTAGTTATTTGACTCTGGGCCAATGAAAATGGCCCCCAGCTCCACAGCGTCCTATAAAGATCATAAAGCCACAAATGAGAAATACATTCAATACTGTCTTAAAATAGTATTGTTATTTTTTTCTCTCACCAGTGGGCTTTTATAATAGAATAACTTTCTATAATGAGAGTCCAAAACAAACCATCTTTTTTTAAATGTCTCTTTTTGCTGTTCAGTGGGACATGTATGTGTAACACAGAGATATTATTAGGCAATAAATATATATTCTTATAAATGGTATTTATAATGTGCACATGATGTTGGATTTACCAGCGGTCCTGTTTTTTCCATAAATCCTTCTTTGAGGTAGTTCCTGGTGATCATTGGTATTAGCTGACATAAAAGAGATAAAAGAACATAAATTATAGTTATTACTTTGTAACTTCAGAACTACAAACTGTGGAATAATACAACTGAAATGTCAAACAAAAGAGTTTGTTCATTGTGTGTGAAAAATCCACTTTGATGGATGTCTTAAATATTACAATGCTCATTTAGAATAATCATATTTCCAATAATAAAGTGTGGGTCCTAATAATAATGTCTTATATAGACTACGTGCATTTGGCTTTCACTCTTCACACCAAGTGAGTCTGGAAATCTGTACCAACAATCTCTCTCTAACTCACACATTACTTTCATACAGAGGCAGGGTGGCTGTTTCCCTGTTAGGGTGTACCTCTTCATCACTTCCAGTAGGGTATGCTGTCTTCAGATATGCATAGCGGGCAGCACGAATGCAGTTGAACCATGTTCCAATGTCCTGCAAAAGAGCAGATCCTTAACATGTGTCTGGGGTGTGGTTGTTTTGTATTTGATGTCAATGAAGTGGCACCTCTGACTTCTCATGGTACACAAACAGATTTCTTGTGTGGTTTTCATTCTGGTATGTGAGTTGCAACCCATGTGAATGTCCAATCTTTTTAGGCTGGAACATAACATTAAGGTCTTTTATGGGGATTACGGCCTTGGGTCCTTTGAGCTCCTGAACACAAGAGTGACATTAGAAAAAACAAATAAACAAAAATACAGTTTTAAATCTGTATATGTTATTTTAGCTGCTTTGTATATCTGTTCTAGGCCACGTTCTGTATAGTCTAATTATTTTCAAGAAAGCCATAATTGTACATGGATGAAAAAAAATGACCATCATACTTGATTTTCATTTGGTTTTGTGTTTTTGTAATATATATTAAACCCTCAGCAAAAGTAGGCTGAATTAAATTTTATAGGATAATTAGGTATATAGAAGAACTGAACTTGACTTCAATGTAGTCTTATTTTTCCTATCATGCAGTTTCATGTTCCTGTTTTTGACACTGTTTAATTACACAAAATAAATACACGTTTGAGTCCTGAAGTATTACACCACCCCACACATTTAATAACTGTCATTATAACTCACATTGTCTTTGCTGTAGTATGTCAAAGTAAATTCGTTTTCAGACAACACAAATTTCCTCTGGTTAAACTGTGAACCCTCCTTTTCCTTCTTCCACAGCAGCCCTTCATAAAAACCTGTGGAAAAAAACAGAAGTAAATCTAGCAGACTGGAGGGACTGCATTTTGATTTTTGGCATCCACTTCCTGTCAGAGAACAAGTTTTTCTTGTGCAAACCTGTATCACTCATCTCACTCGTGCTTCCAAAACTACTATCTCACTTCGGGATAGGTATTTGTGTATGATAGTAGACTTTACCTGTATGATAGTAGACTTTACCTGTGGTGTAGGGAGGTGGTGGGTATTTGGTTTCTCCAGTGAACTCCAGTCGTTCATATTTTGCACGAATCCACTGCTCTCTAAGAACACTGACAGAGAAAGGGAGTCAACAGTTGTGACTGTCGAAACTGTCACACATGGTTTTGTTGATATGTCAAAATACTTACGTGCAATCATATTGCTGAGGGCGATAGTAATAGCATGGAACTGCCTTTTCATACACCTCACATGCCTTTGCGTTACCATGAGATCTCATAAACTTAAAAAAAAATAAATATTAAAAATCCTTGTAACAGTAGCTACAACACAGACACAACTAAAGGCCCATTTTAATTCCCTTTTTGTGAATTTTGAGTAATTTTTTCTGGGATCCTGTGGATCTTTACATAGGCGTAATATTTATGTAGGATTATTTCAATATTTCACCCATTATTATTCATTGCTTTAACTGATCTTAGAGTATTTGTATACACAAGGGTGAGGGGCACCATTATTACCTCCACAAGACTATCCTCCCAAAAGTCCAGTTTAATAGACTTGACTTTGCTTGACAGATTGCGATGGATCCCAGAGCAGTTGAGACACAAAAACACACCCAGTTTATAGGATGCCCAGTCTGGATCTGAGGTCAGCAAATGATTGAGAAATTAGTTGTTTGAAACATAAAACGAATCTTTACAAACTACAATGTACGTTTAAATGTTGTGTAATCTAATTCGAAAAGTAAAGAATCAAAATATGTCCACATGTAGTGTAGCCAAGATGCGTGATGGTAATCCTGGCACAGAGCACTTACCGGGCGCACCGCAGTCCGCGCACACGCTGTTATCCGGCTGCTTCACCATTTCTAGTAAAATCTTCTTGTTTCTTTCACGACCAGCCATTTTGCAAACAATGTTGAGCCCCAAGCTATCTATAGAAACAAATGAACATGGCAAGGGTGGCACATAACCACGAGACGCAGTGCGCTCGGCTAAAAACTGGAAGTTGAACCGCTGTTGCCTTCACCTCCCTGAACGGAAGCAGGAGCGCGCGGTTCAACAATCGCGTAATCAAAATTCTTTTACTAAAGTGTCCTGTAATATTCGGAAATACAGACTATAACAAATCACAATTTATGAAAATATATTCTAGTAGTGAACTTTTATTGGGCCACACAATAATCAATACAAAAGTGTATTTAAAGATAAAAAACAAGGTGAGGTGAACTGCGAGTGAAGCATAAAAAAGCAGCATTTTAACTGCTTTTGCAACAACCACATATCCAGAGTGAATGAAAAAATGTGAAAAAGTATGTAGCCTTTACAAAATTACACAAATCTATTTTACAAATTCCATCATTATGCAAATTATTTATAGTTTAGTTGTAAAAACAGTCTACTTCGATTAAAATGCTCTGCAAAAGGCAAAGCTGTAAGTAATTAGTAAAACCATATACGCACAAAATGTACAAAAATATACACAACTTAAAATACAATATTTATATTAGGTTGAAGTAATCAGTGCACTTGTTAGAAGCACCAAATGTCCCATGCCCATGCAGGGGGTGAGTGTATAATTTCAGAGCTGCTTTGTAAAATCCTACAGACACTTTATACTGACTCTTGTTTGTACAAAGGTCCAGACACAAGAAATGTATGAAAGGCCATTATGGTTTAGGGGAAATCTTCCGCAAGGTGCTCTAGAGTAGACTTCTGGAGACCCAAGTGGATTGAATCAAGATAATGCAAAAACCTAAAAAAAAAAATACACAAGATTAAAATAACAGAACTTGGAATAAGTAAAATCTTATTCTGTGTTTTAAATTATGCACCTTCTTTTGATTTTGCCTTGTTCTTTTAGCTGCTCAGATCTGCAGATTGTCCGCAGTGCTGGTAGATAGTCCTGAGCCATTGCTGGCCTGTTCACCGCATAACCAAACACTCCTTTCAGACAAAGTTCATCCATTACTTCTCTCCTTTGCTGGACAACCCTGAAATCAAGACAATTACTCATGTGACTAAAGAGCAGTCTAAATAAATACAGCTAAATGTGTGGTTGGTGACTTACTGTGGATGACAAAAGCGATTCTGTATAAAGGTAAAGCTTTCATTATGAGTGGCAATAGGAAGTGTGAGTAGATCTGCAGTTTCCTCTCTTAGCGCTCCATCCAGCTGTTGAACTTTGTGCCAGGCGCTACTGACAGACGCACTGCACTTGTTGAAACTGAGACTCTCCACTTGGGCGTGAATCTCTAATGCGCAGTCCCGCATTGGCAAATTCCACCTCTCCGAATCTATCCTAGCTTCATCTGTTAAACCATCTTTCATCACCACAGTACTACACCTCTCTTTTACATTAGTGTCTTCAGTGCTCATGAAGTCCATAAATGACATATCGTCCAAAAATTCAGCTAATGAATGGAGACACTGCGAAACAGGAACACTTTTTATTTGTTCCTCGCGACTAAGAGGCTTTCTTCTAACTTTTAAGGGCACCGAAGTGGCAGCCTCCTTTTCTCGAGTAGCACTTTGTCGCTTCAGGGACAGAAATTCATCTTCGGAGTCTGAGTCTGACTGCAAAGCTCCTTGTTCAGCAGGGCAGTGTCTCCTCCTATTCTTTTTCATTCTGCTGGAGACTTTAACTGGACTGGTGTCATCTGAAATCCTCTTCATTTTGTTTGAGTCTAGCGTGTGATGGGAGTTTGTGAGGTTGGGGTGCATTCACAGAAGTCTGGTCCAGTGGAGGAGGAATGGGTTGCTGCAGTTTTGATATGGTTAATGTAGTGGTTGGCAGAGGAAGCAATGTTTCTATATTAGAGTAGAGTAGGTTCAATCCTTGTCCCCTGCTCATCGTCACTAAATTTGAGAAATCTGCCTCTTGTCTCTGTTTATACAAAACATCAAATGAGGGAATTCCACCAACTACAAATTACATTTTAAGTAAATATTAATGTTACCTTGAGCAGTTCCCAGATATTGTGCTGAGGTGCAACATTAAGCAGACCCAGCATACTCTCAGTGCAACCAGTCTCACAGACAGGAAGAGGGTCTGAATCTTCCATATTTGTAACAGCTCCCTCTGTTTTTTGTTGCAACTCATCTGCAAAGATTTATAAACTGGAATTAATAACAATTACTATATAGGTCAGCTTCCAAGCTGCTCAAGTCATTCAAGATTTCAGGCAAATAGAAAAATGATTGGTTGTAAAACATCTTTAAGTGTCCAAAAAAACGCCATACAAGTCTCATGTATTATTATTAGTATTATTTATGTTTAAGGAGGTTTAAGGTTTTCAGAGTAGAATTAAACAGAAAACTCAGTTTGGCCAAAAAAAATACTTGGACAGTTATGCAATTATGAGTTATGATTTTCCCTGCTTTAGCCAGTTAAGCTCACCATTCTGGCCACTAGGTGGAGTGGTTCTGCGTTGACCTCCACTGCGGGCCCAAAACTGCAGCTGCAACAATGTCCTCCGGATGTCACCGTGGTTTAGACTGAGCAGAGAGCTTATGTCCTTCAGGTCTGTCCTCATGTTTTCAGCTAAACATAACAGCTGCAGGTAACAGGCCACATCCAACTGTAACACAGAGAATTAGGGCATTAAAACACAACCTTTCAATTAGTTACTGCATACAGAAATATATATCAGTAATTACCACAGATGGGGGCTTAAAGACAATCTCTTCTAAATTTCCATCAAATGTTGCACTAAAGGCTGGATCTACAAAATAGAAAAATAAAAGTTTAGCGCATGGCGATAATGAAGCCTTATTCATTGTGAGCTCTAAACTCACCGCTGCTAGTGAGGATTACTGGTCTTTTGGTGGTCATCATAAAGGTTTTAATAGCACTTAAAAATCCAGTGTCCTCCTCAAATATGACATCTACCTCTTCAAACAGGATGAGGGAGGTGGCTGTCTTCTTGCTCAGCTCCTCAGAGTTACCGTCTTTTGAGGAAACACCCGGTGGTGACTTGAGTGATGTGTTCTTACTGTCCACTTCATTTGATTTTTTCTTGGAAACAGCTGTACGAATAAATTGAGTAAGGAGAGGTGTGTACAAATATTCATTCATTAGATAAAATAACCATTCAATTAATTAGCTACCAGTCTGTTCTTCTTTATCTTTTGGCTGCTCTTTGTTTCCAGGTTTAGACATTTTGAAAAAATTTGCCAAAGCGGTCGGTGCCAGCCCACCTCGTTTGGTGGTTTTTGGTGACTGTGGAAGTTTTCTGGGTGAAGAGACAGCCCTGCGTGGAGAACCAACTTTTCCTAAAGATGACAAATTGAGAAATTATAACACAAAAAATAACATAGTAGAGGTAAAGGTTAAAGTTGATAATACATACTTGGAGAGGACCCAGGTCTAACTGCACCGCTGCTTGCACTGTAGCTGTTGAAATAGGTGGGTTTGTGTGCGTTTACCCCCTGAGTGTCCACCTGATGTGACTGAGTGGCCTCTTTCAACTGTGAGAGGATCAATCGGCCACTTCGCTGAGATGAAGCGTTCACCTCAAATATCTTAAGACACAAAAAAGTTAACCAGTACCGTCACATTTTGTATTCTTGTAGATAAAAATAAGAGAACCTTAAAACCAAGCTCCTGTGCGCAAGCGTAAACTGCAGCGGTCTTCCCTATCCCAGAGGGTCCAGTTATGAGCATTGTATTACACAGCATGTCCTCTGCATCCTGAGAGTCCCCTTCTTCACACTCCCAGTCAGAGTCTAAATGAAACACCAAGAACCAGGAGTTAAATACCCATATGTCAGATGCACTCCAAAAGTAAATTGTCCTACCAATACTTCCATCTTCTTGTTTCTGTTCCTTAAGTTTCTTTTTGTCTTCTTTGTCTGCACGAAGTTTCCATTCTTTGAGCCAACTGTAGTAACAAGAGAAATGTGAGCCACAAATACAAAAAGCCAACAAAAACAGGAGTCTTTTGTCACCTGTATAGTTGTCTGACTGAGGATGTGTTGCCTATGACTTCAGATGAACGCTGGGGCTGGTACTTGTCTGTCCACAGCACATCCTCTGTCAACACATCTGAGGATTTGAGAACGGCAACAAAAATGTTTAGAGATGACTTGAATTACTGAGATTGCTCATTGTTAAAGCTTTTCTACGCCACCTGGTCCAGCAGCCTTTGGCGCTAAAGGAGAATCATCCAGCACAACGATGGTGTTGTCTCCAGACTGGACAGGTGCTGTAATCTGGTCCTCGGATACAGACTTCACTCCTCGCCGGGGCCGTAATTGCTTTTTGGCTGGAGCTCCCTCTGCTGGCTGAGTATTACGTTGCTTTTTTGCTACTTTAACCACTTCCTCTTCCTCCTCAGTTCTCTTCCTTTTCCCTGCAGTGGCTTCAGCCAGAACTTTTGGACAGATACCTTTTGAAACAGAAGGTGTATCTGAAGAGGAAAAAAAATAGATATATAGCTGTGTTAAAACAAAAAAAGCAATGAAACTAAAATACTGTACATCAACTAACCAGAGGCGGTGCATTGATGAATGAGGTCGGCCTGTTTCTTTAAGAAATGGTTCATGAACTTTTGAACAGGGAGGGCAGGGTTACAGCTACTGATCTCCTTCATTAGAGCCTCACGAGCGCTAGAAAAAATTTCAGGCCTCCAGCTAGACACCTGAGAAAAATGTTAGTATTATTCACAATAATATTTATTTGTACTCACACAAAAAAGAAATAACAGCTATTGTAATTTTAGGTAATTACATACCATTTCAATTTGGGTTCTATGAATGGGTTGAGTCTTCCAGTTTATTGGCAGATTTATTTCTGAAGGAAGGCTCAATGACTGCCACCAAGTTTCTTTAAGAGGGTGGAGAAATGTAGATTTGGGCCAAGGCAAACTCCAAAAAGGACATTCTGTAAGCAAATAACAAACAAAAAATTTATGAAAAAAAAGCAGCAACAACTAAATCCTCACTACAAACTGCAGAGTATAGTAGACCATACCATTAGACATTTGAAAAATATGCAGAACTGGGTGGAAAGAGGCACAAGATATAGCATAAGCCTCTTTAGCTGCTGCAGTTTTAGCCATTTGCTTCTTAAAAGATTCGGGCAGACCACTTTTCAGGAAATCTCTTCGTGCTTTAAACTGCTCATCATCCTGGGAGTTTTCAGAGCCCTCTCTGCTGCTGTCATCAAATATAGAAACTGGAATAGGCTTTCTCGGGGCCTTGTCTTGAAATTTTTCTTGAACTTTGGAACCTGTCAAACAGTAAATATTAGTGTGGGAAAACATTGTGATAAAACATTAAGATTGTACTGAGACAGACTACCTGGCATAGACTTGGCCTCTTTGTTAGCGGCAGCTTTACCCAAAACATCATTCAGACTCCGCAATGCTGTCTTTGCTTTACTCTTTTCTGGCACGGACTGCGGTGTGATGACAAAGCCTTCTTCAACACAGATTATGGAGTCCTTAAAAAAATAAAACTAAATAAATTAGGAAAACAAAATGCACTGAATTAAAAATTAAAACAAACAGCTTGTGCATATCATAATATACCTCATCTTCACAGTAGCTGCGCTTGACAGACGCCTCAGTTCTTGAGGAACGCCGTAGCATTTTCTCCACTGTTGAAACAGTCTTAGTTTGTTTTCTAGCTTTTGCCTTCTCCAACAGCTTCTTTGCCTGCTTTGTTTTTTTGGACTCCTTTGAGTTCTGAAAGGTTTAGATTAAAATTTATTTAGTGCCATTTCTATGAATTTGACAGTTTGTCTACATTTTAATACCTTTGTAACCAGAGGAGTTGATGATGGATTCTCTTCTTTACTTCTATTTACTCTTGTAAATCTAATTCTGAAATCACAGAGACATGTTATAACCATATCCACCAATAAAGGCAGATTTTAAATTGCATGTTGTACCTTATAGGACTTTCAATCTCATCCGGAGGGCACGTCATCTCTGCTTTGAACACACCATGTTTTGCCCTGCGTTTCTTTGGTGTGGACAGGTACACAAGCTCTTCCTGGTTTAAAGCAGAATCGTCCTCTGTGCAAGCCACTGTCTTGATTTGTTCTGATAGAGCCTTGGCCACAGTGGGTTTAGATATTTGTCTGGTTACTGCCTCTCGTTTGGACCTTCTCACCACTGGAGTCGGGGGTGGAGAAGTTTTAGGCTGATCCTGATTTTTACTGTCAATCTCTAGAATTTCCACAAGATCAGGTTCTTTTTCAGAAGCAATCGTGGTTGTCGCGGTTGTGTCCATTTTCACGCTTGCCTTCTTTTGTCGTTTCTTTGCTTGTTTTATTTTAACTTCTTTGTTTTGTGAGGCACTTGTATCTTTCTCCTGAACATCAGTAAATTGAATTTCAGCTTCCTCCTCACTAACTTTGTCAGTAGCATCTGCTATGTTGTCTCCACTCTGCTTCAGTTTACCTTGGCTCTTAATCGGCTTGTTTTTAGTCCCATCAAAACCAGGTTGCTTGAAGGCAGCCATGAACTGTTTTCTCTCAGCCTGACTGCACTTAGGAACAGATGAGCTCTCAAGAACACACAACTCAACATCACTTTCTTCAAGAACAACATTTGATTTCCGCCTGGAAGCTGTTCCCTGCACTTGGGAATCAGGTTCTGGTTGTGGAGAAGTTGCTGGTACTGGGCTAGTGCCTTTTCCTTTGGTGAAGATGGAGGCTACTTTTCCTGCATTTTTGCCTTTTTCTTTAGGTGAAATGGCATGCACTTCTGCCTGTATAGTCACAATACGTGGTGACACGCAATTATCCTCAGCATTGGTGAGTTGTAGTTGTTTATTTTCAGTCACTGATTCAGTTTCCTTACAAAGTTCATCGTTTGTGCTGTCTTGACTTCGGACAAACTCTTCAAACGAAATAGTGACCATGCTGTGGTGTAACTGTGAGGTGTCACCCACATTGACCTCCATGCTTACATCATCCAGAGATTTCGTAGTCTCCTCTGGCTCAGGCAGTTGGTCTTCTGACTCTTTACTTTTCTTCCCAGTAGAAGTTTTGCCTTTCCTACATTTTGATTTTGTTGGTAAAATTGGAGATAAGTCTATGCTATTTAAGTGTTGACTACTTTTGACGAGTAAACTTTTTTTGTGTTGATCCGATTTTTCAACTTTGTGGTTTGATGATTCCTCAGATACAGAAGATTCAGAACAAATCTGTCCAAGTAAAACTGCTGTATCACTGCCCAAAACAGTAGAGAATTTTGCTCCGTTGTCTGTTGAATCCATCTCCTCCACAATAATGCAGCTATCGTCTTCGGCAGTTTCCACAAGTTTTCTTGCTGCTTTGGACGTCTTCCTGCTGCGTTTACTGGAGGGCTGTTTAGGCACTGATAGAGAAGTGGAGAGTTTCCCAGTCTGGCAGTTCTCTTTGGCCTGATTTGGGGACAGTACCCTGTCTTTAGGAGAGGGGCCTTTGCGGTTAAAGTAATCCATTATGTTATTAGAGCGAGGAGGAGAAAAGGGTTTCTCAGTGGGTTTAGACACAGGTGAGAAATAATTTGTGATGGTCTTGACCACAGGACTGTCCACATTTTTGCATGTCTTTTTGCAAGGCTGCAAAACAAAAATCAACAAAAACATACATCAGAAGACGCAACAATTACAGTTTGATCTGACTTAAGTACAGTTACCTGAATGTCAAAGTCTTCAATGACAGAAGCCATAGCCACAATACCAGCCATACTTGACAAGCCCTAAATAAGTAAACAAACAAACAAAAACAAAACAAAAAAAACCCAGAGGAAAGTCACCGATTCACCACGGTTCAAACAGTAAATAACAAACTACTGTACTACTACTACAACATATATGTCAACATTTTTATTTAATACGGCTCACTTACGACTTAAACATTTTAATTCATGAAGTCAATACCCTAACCCCAACAAAATGCCGTATCGTAGAGAACAGTCTGCCAAAATATATAACCATTAAAACAAAAACACTTACCTTCACAAATACCGTGTGCAGATTCAGAGAGACTCGTGGTGAACACCGAAACAACTAAACTTCATAATGCCAAATAAGCGAACAAAGGCGAGATACATTTTACCCTATAAGCTAGTTAGGCGCAGTTCCTGACATTTTAGATTTACTCTTCTCATAACAAACGGTAAAAGCGGTCCTATTATCTCCTTCATTGTCGTCACCGATACATTAAAAGCATTCCGTCAAATATGTCAATTTCAAAGCAGCTCCAAAATAAAGACAACAACCGTGTTTCTTTAGGTTCTCTGTCAAAAACGCGCCAGGAGAGCTGTGTGAACGAAAAGCGCCAAATATACATGACCCCCGACAGTGCTGCTCTGGACCAATCACAGCTCGGAACGTGAGTGCGTCACGGGTTCACGTCACCGTCGTTGCTCAAAAAGAGAAGTGCGGAAAACTCACAGCGCCTTCTAATGGTATACGCCATATATACTATCATGGATCTATAAAAATAACAGTTTACAATGCTGCACACTTATATATATATATATATATATATATATATATATATATATATATATATATATATATATATATATATATATATATATATATATATATATATATATATACATATACATACGTATGTGTACATACATATAAAATAATTATTAATTATGATGATTATTATGATTGTGCTTATGATTTATGATTATGATTATTAGCAGCAGCAGTAGTAGTAATAGAAAATTGTGTGTGTACATTTATTATGTGTCTAGAGCCGCTGTGATATATACACACTAACTTCCGTAACTTTCATTCAGAACTTTGTGGCTTTAAGCTGTTTTACCAGTTTTGCCACGCTAAACGAGTTCCTCAAGCAACTGCTGCAACTTACTGTATCAGAGTAGGCAGTGTAAGGGAGAAAGGACACATCGGGAGTAATAAGCGCAAAAAAATGGCGAGCGCCTATGATGGTGAGTAATTGACAACAAATATATTTTCATATTTTATAGACAGCCTTACCTCTTTGCCTGGCCATTATTTTTAAGTAGGGCATACTGTGGGAACATGTAGCCCCGTGAGATAGGGACGCTCCCTAAAGCAACTAAAGCCATCTGCTTTTTCTGAAATTTTACATTTCATTGCACCGTTGAAATCCAACTGTCAGTCACACCGAACATTGCTGATCCAAGGAGATGTGGGTAGAAAGAAACATTTTAGCATACGATATGGTGATTTTACCAAAATAGCATATTGCCAGAGTTTTTATTTTATTTTTTTATTTTTTTATTTTATTTTATTTCGGTCATAGGTATATTTTGACATTAATTCATAAACAGTCATATTTAACATATACAGACCGAAAAGGTGCAGGCTGAAGCTTAAGCTTATTATGCCTACCCTTTATTCCTTTGTCAGTGCGTCATCTTGACATCAGTTCATCTTCATAAATACAGCAGGAGGAAACAAACAAATCAGAAACAGAACAACAAAGTCCTACAGCACAAACTAAGTCTCATATTTCATGTATCTGTCCAGAGTTAAACCTTTAAACTTCTTTATGAAGTAAAAGAAAGTGGTGCACTCTCGATTCGACTTTATCGCCGTATAGCTCGGACGTACAACCATTTAACTGCAAAACATTGAATCTGTATCCTCTGTTACAGGAAAATCTAACTTTGACTCTGAGTTGCGAATTGTGTTGATTGGTGGACGTGAACTACATGGTAATGTCAGTAAAAAGACTTTTACTGGTAACATCATTTTAGGAAAACGTTGTTTTGACACATCCAGGAGGACTTCTCAGAGTGAGGTGAGGCACAGTGTGGTCTATGATAGACAGGTTACAGTGGTGGATACTCCAGGCTGGTGGTGGCACTACCCACTGAAAAACACCCCAGAGCTGGATAAGATAGAGATACAAAACAGTGTCTATCTCTGTCCCCCTGGGCCTAATTCCTTTCTTCTGGTCATTCCACTTGGCATAGCATTCTGTCAAGTATTTAAGTCATCACTGGAAGAGCACTTGAAACTGTTTAACTCAGAAGTTTTAAATCACACCATTGTGCTTTTTACTGTTGAAACCCCATACCCGCCAAACTTTTTAAAACAATTTTTAAAAGATGAAATCAGCAACTGGCCAGCTCTGCAGTGGATACTGGATAAGTGTGGTAGCAGAAAACATATCCTCAATATAACAGACAGTCAGAACAACTTTCAGGTGCTGAGACTTTTTGAGAAAATAGATGCCATGATTGCAGAAAATACTAAAACACGCTATTTAGTTGATGAACTCACTGGGAAATCCCTCAAAGCAAGAATTCAGACACTAAAGGAGAAGGCATCAGAGAGGCTTGCTGAAGTGCAATCACAAAGGAAGAAATTACGAACACTCATTGAAGGTAAACAACTGAAACTAATCCATTGAAAGACTCATATAAAATTGTGAAATGAAATATTTGTGTACATTTAACAGGTGGAAAACCTCTTCCTCAACATCTGAGACTAGTAATGGTGGGTGCACAGTGGTCAGGAAAGAGCTCAGCTGGCAACACCATTATGAAGAGAAATGAATTTATGCTGCGGCCTGGAAGGGCAACAGAGTATTGCGAAGTCAGACATTGTGCAGTCACTAACAGGCGGCTCACCATAGTTGACTCCCCTGGCTGGCTCTATAACAACAGCCTAAGTAACAGTTGTGAGATGGATGTGTTTGAAATCAAGAACAGTATCAATATGTGCTTACCAGGGCCTCATGCAATACTCCTGGTAGTTAGCTTGTCTTCAGCTTTCAATGATCCTTACCAGAAAGCTCTGCAGGAACACATGAGTTTGTTCTCAGATTATGTTTGGAAACATACCATTGTAGTGTTCACGAGAGGTGACTGGCTAGGCTCAAAACCAGTGGAGGAGCGCATAGAGAGTGAGGAGGGGTTGGTGTGGCTGGTGGAGAAGTGTGGAAACAGGTTTCATGTCCTCAACAACAAGATCCATGACGAGGAGCAGGTGACGGAGCTGCTGGACAAAATTGAAGAAATGATAGCAGGAAATGTGGTCACATACTACCACAGTGATCCACAAGAAGCAGAGGAGATAGAGAACCAGAGGAAAGCAGGGCAAAAGAAAGCCAAAAGAATCATGCAAGTCACGCAACAGCAAGAGAGGTTCCTCACTGAGTTGTTTAGAGGTGAGTAAATAGTGTCTGCAAAAGTACTATATATATGCATTATTATTTAATTTATTTGATGGAGGACCTGTCTTCTTAGAGATATTATGATATGGCTGAAATGCTATACAAAATTTGAAATGTAAATGATCCAAGTTCCATGAAGACAAAACAGGTGATGCCACCAAATCAGTAAGAAGTAAGATTTGTAAGAGAGGACAATGGTTGCTGTAAGAATGAAAGGTATTTTTGAGCAGTAAAATCTTGCTTATTTGAATACAATCAAGGTATTCTGAAAAACAGGGGTCATCAAACTAAGGCCCACGGGCTGACTCTGGCCCTCTATACTCCTTTGACAGGCCCCCCAGCCCCTCTGTCCCTCACCACTTGAACTGGCCCTATGAGGCAATCCTCAAAAGTTATCATGGTCTGTTTTTTAAATTACTTTTTGGCAAACAATAACACTTCTGTATCTTGTATTTTATAGATTTTTTCAATTTAAAAAAAAAAATAAATATAAATATAATATATATATATATATATATATATATATATATATATAATATTATATTTACATTAATATTTATATAGTTATATGGCATATTTACATTTGCCGCCAAATTTTCAATCAAACTGTGACAGTCAACACATGTGCAGAGTACTCTAGTGCAGCAACGTGGTGAGTGTTAAAGTATGAAAAGTTGACAGAGAGTGCTGAGTTTTCAAACAACAGTGGACGACCAATTATTTTTTTGTTCAGTGTCAGGACTGTGCAGTTTGTCTGATATGTAAAGAAAGTGTGGCGTTTTCAAAGAATATAATCTGCGTCATCAGGATCATACAATTCTGTTACATGGCTGACTCAAGCCGTCATGCACCTTTAAACTGAATGGAAAACACTGTTGCAATGTAATACCCTGTATAATAAAAGACATTTATATCTTCTCCAGGAGAAAAAAGGTTGCCACAGAATGATCTGAGACTTGTGCTGATTGGGCGAAAAGAGTCAGGAAAAAGCATGGCAGGAAACAGAATCCTTTTTGATGAGATTTTTGGAACAGCATGGATGAAAAAGGTAAGCATATAACTCTCAATTAATTACTAGTAAATAATGAGTAAATAATAGGGCTTTGACAAGACACAAGAGGCAATAAGCTATAAGACTGGGTTCTCAAGAATGAGACAGGAGATTTTGATGTACTTGATTTTAAATTAATTGTTCTGTGCAGTTCACAATTTTGGTCTCACCAATTTTGATTTATGTTATATTCATTGTAATGCTGCTTTTTGGAGCTAATGCTTTAGGTGTAAATCGCTACCACATAAACTTATTTTTTTTTAACCAATCCAAATATAAAAAACATGGGGTAATAAATCTCACAAGATAATTTTTTTCATATGTCCACAATCTTTTGTCAATTTTGTCTCATGAGATCTGGGTGCATGAGATCTTGTTACCGGTACATTAATTAATAGTTATCATTGGCTCATAATACACAGAATTTATTTGCTTCAATTTGTAATCTGAAACCTTTTTTTTTTTTTTTTTTTTTACTTTTTAGGAGTTCCAAGTTGAACAAAGAAATAAAAAAGCTGTAAAACATCAAGCCAGAATCGACAGACTGAATATGACTGTAGTGGAGGCTCCAGGCTGGTCCATAGATACAGCCCCTGATGACTGGATGATAAATGAAGCAAAGCAGAGCGTCCATATGTGCGAGCCAGGGCCCCATGTCTTTCTTCTAGTTGTGCCTATATCACAGGCTTTCAGTCAGAGTGACCTGACGGTAGTGGATCAACTGTTGGAACAATTCGGAGAGCAGGTCTGGAGACACTGTTTGATTCTCTTCACATGGGGAGACTGGCTCAACAATAGATCTGTTGAGGAATACATTGCAAGAGGAGGAACGGCACTTCAGCGACTTCTGGAAAAATGCATGTACAAGTATCATGTTTTGAACTGCAACCGCTACAATGATGAGTATCAAGTCATAAATCTTTACCAGAAGGTTTACACCATAATTACAAGAAATAAAGGTCACTACTCTATTTCTATGGAGGAGGGGTTGAGGAAAGGGCAGGCAGTGCTGACAGAGGAGGAGTGGTACACCAGAGAGCAAGAGCTTATAGATCGTATTTTAAAGGCTTTGGCTCAAGAAACACAAGAGCCAAAAACACTCCCACTGAAGGGGGTAGCAAGCATTGATGGGGCATTCATTCCAAGTAGTAAGTCTGTTCTTTTTTCAAGTAAAGCACCAGTTTAAAGGTATGGTATGCAAAATTCTATCTGTGCTTTTGATATGAAATAAACATGTTTAAATTAAATATTAATTTTAGCTTTCTGAAAACAAATGTAATGTTGAATTATTAGAAAATAATGAGGCAACATGTTTTTTTTTAAGTTTTCATTTGATGTTTTAGTTCAGTCAATTATCCAATCAAAAAGCAGTGTAACAGTAACTATGATTTTAGTTCCTCTAAACTTGCAGGAGCGCATGTTACATACCCTACCTTTAAAGAATATAAATGTTTTATGTTTAATAGTGACATTCAATTGTTTTTAAAGTGATTGGTTTTCTGTTGTATTCACAGTGAGCCATGAAGTACCTTCTGAGTATGAAAGTGCACGGTGGGTGCTACCGAGAGGTCATGCCAAAGTGGCAGAGTGGTTGGACATGAGAGTGTGGTCCTCATGTCAAACCTCAGGAGTGCACAGTTACAGTGAAAATCTGACTGATGAAGATTATACAACAGAACATTTCCCAGAGAAAATCCAGAAAGAAGTTTGTCAAAATGAAAGACGAAGAAACTCATATTAAATACAAAATCTAATTATTGTCAACTAATATTTTATTATTACAATATAGATTGGTTGTAGAAATTATTTTGAAGCTTTTGTTTCACAATGTAATCATATTATGGTACTTTTATTACTACTTGTATTTTTTTACTTGTATTACTACTTGATGGTTTCGAATGATGAAGGCATCAGCAAAATGTTTAAAATTATTTTAATGTTAAACTTAAAAACATCTGCATTGCATTCTACCACCTCCAAAGGCACAGTCATACTTACAGACCAAATTCATTAAACACTGCCACTAAATCATTTTGTCATACAGTTATGTTCACTGTAAAATAAGTAAACTGTAGGGAAAAACAATCTCTTTTAAATACTGATAAAACAATTCGACTGATATGTAAAAAAAAAAATTAAAAGTGCTGGTTTAACGGCTGTGGAGCCTGCTGATCGCAAACCCACTGCAGCTGATAAGTCATTGACACCTATGAATTCCAAAAAAACAAAACAAAAAGGAAACGCTTACATTTAACCAATTAGAACATTAAGTGTTTAAAATAAGAGTGAAGCAAAACAGCATTAAGTAGAAATGCACTGAGATGAGAATGATTAGGAGAGACAAGGATTGATGTTGGAGGACTGTGCTCCACTGTTAAAAACAGAAAACATTTCAGACATGTGCAGAGAGGCAGGGTCCTAGTCTGTGGAAAAGCAATTACTAATAGGATTCAAAACTGAACATTCAATCACAAACCAATAACGCACACAAAGATTGCCAATAATGTGTGACAACACACCACCGTACACTGCACAAGAGGTTCACTTAGTGACAACAAAATTCAAAATATTTAAAATTTACAAATATATGAGGCACGGTCCTCTGTTAAATAATAAGGATCAATGAGACTTCAGGAAAGTAACAAGGCTTGGCACAACAAAGAAATATTTAAATAAGGCATAGAAATATGTCAGGGATAGTGGGGCCCCAAAGAGATGAATGAAAGTAAACATAAATATGACACACACAACCTCCCCAGAGAAGCAGCTGTTCTACAACAGGGAGGATTTTGCAGCAAATAAAGAGTGCCCCAGTCAACACCTGTGATAGGCACTCTTAAAGAAAAACATTTTTACAGCCAATTCAAATGAAACATGAAAATAAAGGATTTTTTTTTTCTTTTCAATCAATGTCTTTCAAAATATGTACAGTAAGCTTTTAGCACTTTAGTCACCTGGACCTGTAATCACACACAATATAATGAAAAGGCTATTTCAATCAATGCTCCAGAACAATGTGACTTCAGTGCTCATTTAGACAAACACAAAACACTCAGTAAGTGCACACAACAATACCAAGTACCCTTCAATGTTTTCCCCCATAAGTTCCCTTTAAAAAGCGCAGTAAATTAGTGCCAACTTATTAATGTGTATAGATGGTATTGGTACCCTCCTATTGATGTAACCTTTACACAGACACTGTTTTTTCCAAGACCACTTTGAGACGGCAGTGACAGTTGCAGGAGGAGTTTCTCAGCTACGTGAATACAAGACTGCAGGATGCAATGTAATAAGAGAAATATCTGCAGCCTTCAGTTAAGAGCTATACAACAGTCTATGTGTAGAAGCCACAATTTGCCAATGATAGTGAATAAAATCATTGGTAACAGGCTTTAGATATAGCAGCAGCACCACTACTATGTGTTAAAAGACAATTACTTAAAAAGTTTACAAATAAATACAGTATCTACATGTTTGAATTTGTGTCTTTGTACATTAACATGTGAACAAGGGTCATCGTTTCTATTTGGTTAGTTCTCAGCTGATCCAGTGGCAAAGAGGACTCTCTGATCAGTTCTGGCCAGTTTGGCAGGAGGCTCCAGAGACTCATCGCCCAGGACAGCGCCATCTGCTGGAAGAGACAATTCTTGCCCTTCCTCATCACTCTCCTCTTCATCTTCCTCTTCATCTTCTGGATAAAAAAAATCACTGGTCACATGTAACTCTCACATACATACAATACAAAATGTGAAGCATGTTTTCATAGTATAATGACCTTTGTCTGGATCCAGCTGGTTTAACCCTCGACCAAGGCTAGCAAACTGTCAAAAACAAAACATCCGTTTAACTTGCATCACTGTAGCTGAAATTTTAGAGGTGCAAATTCTTTATAATATATGTAAATTAAAGGACATGCATGAAGCTGTGTTTCTTTAAAACAATGTTACATTACATACACTTAAAAAAAAAAAGTCATGTTGTCTAAACCAAAGCTTATACTGTGTTAAAAGTTACACCCATATCTAATGACATTGTTTGTACAAAAGTGAGCAGATTGACAGTGATCAGAGACAATAACTGACATGTGTGATGTACGAGATGGTACCTCTCCCATAACAGCGATAGGGGTCTCTCCTTTAGCCTGGGCCACTCTGTGCTCTATCAGGTAATACATGTACTCGTCATACAACAGGCGGATCAAGTGAAAGGAACCGAAACTGGCCGCACTGCGCAGAGTCAGATCCCTGATCACCATGGAACTGCGGAAAACAGACCAAAATGGGGATCTGAGACACCGATCAAGCAGTGTGAGCAAAAATTAAAACCACAGTTGAAATTCAACACAATACTGTGCTTACAAGAAGAGGAAATCAGTGCATTGTAGGTTACAAAATCTAAACCATTTGCATATGTGGGGAAACAGAATTTAAAGAACATCCAAAATGCATGCACACAAGCCCTAGTAGTAGTAGTAGTAGAAAATCCACATATGAAGAAAGGGAGGAACAAAAAGGCACTGAAAGTTAAGACACCAGCTGTAATGGTTATGGAGAGCTAAGTAGGATTGGGCCTGGTTAGCAAGCGACCGCTAGGATACCTAGGATACCAGGTGTGGAGTAGTGGAGTAGTGGAGCACCAGTGGCTCATTGGTAAGAGCACTGTCCCACTCAGACCAGTCTGCACTGCCTCCAGTGTCCATGTCTACAGAGGCGTATTTACGTTTATCAATATGCACTATACGAACCAAATAGTCACATTTTTACATAGCACTTTTCCATTTTCAAAGTGCTATACATTAAGGTACCACTCACCCATTCACATATATATATATACATACACCAGTGCACAGAAACACTGGGGATGAGGTGGGTTAAGGGTCGTGCCCAAGGACACAACAATAGCATTTATCTGTGGGAGCTGGAATCTCACCACCAACCTGTGGGTTTGACCAGTCTATCAATGATGTTTATGCCAAGAGCAGGATTCGAACCGCCAACCTCCAGATCAGTGGACAAACATTCTACCAATTGAGCTACTGTTGCCCATGAGCAAATAATAATCATGAAAAAAAGACACAAAAAAAACACACTAGTATAATCTTTGAGCAGTAACTGAGTAATTTAACCACTGAATCACAGAGCTCTTGTATTTTACAAACATTCTTTGTCACATTGGCCTGGCATTTTTTCTAGAAGCCCGTGAGCAAGGCTGAGTGACATGTTTGATTTGACAACATTTAGAAAAGTTAATACCAGTTAAAAAGGTAAATGCAAGTTAACTTTCAGTACTACTAGGTTGTAGTTACCTGTAGAAGGACCACTTGAGTAGGAAAAGTTTAGCAGCCTTTGGAAATGCAGGACTGTGTTGATAGGGCTTTAGGACCTGGGACACCACTCCATCGAGCCATGCTGCCCACTGCTCCAGGGAGTTCTGCTGCTGGAGAGTCAGTTTGAAGTCTTGCTCCAGTCTTTGGACAACACGGTCTTCACACCGGCACACCCAAGATGCTTGCTCCTGCAAAAAGAGGTTCAAATCTGATGATTCAATGCATATTATTTATCATAACCTACAACTCTACTCTTGCAACAACAAACCTGGACATTAGCAAAGTCCACTCGGTTAAGGTCAGACAACATCTGGTTGATTTGCGCTGTGTTCTGGAGGACAGCACGAGCCGCCTGAGCCAGATGGTTCAGACTGGTGTAGCGTCTCAGTGTCTGGGCAAATGCATTTGCTGAAGTAACCTAAGAAAAGAGCAATGTTAATGTTATACTTCACCATAGTAATATGGTAAAGTATGATAATATTAACAAAATAAAAACATCTATTCTACCTTGATGCGGACCATTTCCTCTGGAATATTCATCATCGCATTGGTCAGCCAGCTCTCTAAGCTCTTGGCAAAGTTTCGGATTGCTTGCGTTAAGGCACCTTGGGGGGTGGACAAATAAATGATCATGTCCAAAATTAACATGCACAAATAATGATGAATCAAAGAAGTTTTTAGGCAAAGTTATTTGGTTGTGGTCAGTGTTGCTCTTGGTAATGAAGCTTAAATGTCAATGAACAGTTCATAATGTTTAGTAACACTTACCTCCTTTTGATAAAAATGTTTTTTTTTTATTACATAACATAAATACGTAAATAAATTGAGTCAATATGATTAACTGAGGTTCAGGAGCATGACCACGCCTCAACATCTTACTGATCCTCTCCAGAGAACCACAGCTCACCTCAACCACACCTCAGAAGCCCTATTTACATAGGCCTATCCCGACAACACCTACCATCTGTTTCCTGTTTGTCTTCAGCCTTAAGACATCACTATCTAGAGAAGAGAGATCTCATCCACCATATCTATCCATACCATCCATAAATAAACATCTTTATTGTATACTACTGTTGTGGTGTGGTCCTTGCTAGTGAAACAGATACATTAAATGTATTTGAGTGTGTGTGAAGACAAATTAGTCCTGATATTTCTCCTGTGAACTTACTGGGGATAGGCCGGAGAACATCTGGAATGAGGATCTCCACCAGGCCTTGGTACAGACTGTTGTCACAGTCACGGCTCCAGCGCAGCACAGGATCATATTTACATAACAGGACAAGGCAGGACTTTGGAAGGCGCTTCTCTGATTCATCATGACTATGAAATATAAAATAACATAATTTAATCATTAACAGTCAAATATTGCCAACTAAAATGCCAATGGGTCTTTTTTAATCAGTTTGTGACATACACAGATATTGTAGCATCTCCAGATGCATCCTGGCTGAATCTCCAGAAAGTCTTCCACAGAGTCTCTACCAGAGTGAACTGAAGGTTTACCATA